TTTGCTGTTCGACTTCCGCTGTTGTGTCAATGACAAAGACGGAGTTTGAAATGAGACAGTACGGAGAGTTCGACCCAGAGGAGACTCAGTCATCGAATCAACACTTGTTAGAGTTTTATTGTGTCTCAGCTGCTGTTTAGAGGCTGATGAGGGAAATGTTTCTATCAATGTGACACCCTGAAAAACAGGGAGAGTCAATAAATGTAAAACTGAGTCCCACCTGGGAGTCAGACATGGTTCTGGAGAGGAGAAGTCCTGCTGATAAACTGGACTGTCTGCAGACTTCTCTGCTAAACAGTCGGTGCAGTCTGCTTCAATATTTCACCTCCTTTAGCATCAGAGTTCAAGATGTTGTTTTTGTTTTTTCAATTAAATGAAAGGTTTACATCCCAAGATACTTGAACTCCTCCACGAGGTTCACGATTGTAGGACAGAGCAGGAAATCGCCTGGCGGATCGGAGCGGCGTCAGCAGTGATGCGGACACTTAACCGATCAGTGGTGGTGAAGAAAGATCTGAGCCGTGAGGCGAGACTCTGGATTTAGCGGTCGATCTACGTGCCGATCCTCACCTATGGTCATGAACTTTGGGTAATGACCGAAAGAACAAGATCGCAGATACAAGCGGCTGAAATGGGTTTCCTCCTCAGGGTGTCCGGGCTCAGCCTTAGAGATAGGGTAAGGAGCTCGGACACTCGGGAGGAGCTCAGAGGAGAACCGCTGCTCCTCCACGTCCAGAGGAGTCAGCTGAGGTGTTAGGACGCCTCCTGTTAGAGGTGTTCCAGACATGTCCCACCAGGAGGAGACCTCGTGGTCGGCCCAGGACCAGGTGGAGGGATTATATCTCTCTCTCCTGGCCTGGGAGCGCCTGGGAATCCCCCCGGAGGAGGAGCTGGTGGAGGTGTCTGGGGTGAGGGCCGTCTGGGCTTACCTCTTGAAGCTGCTGACCCCACGACCCGGACCAGGATGAACCGGAAGAAAACGACGACGACAGTTTACGTGTTTTGAAAATTATTCGGAGATTTGTTTGGAATATTAAGTGTTCGAGGTTAAAGCTACAAAAACTTCAGTCTCCCATTAAAAACCTTACCTAACCTGATGATCACTGAGCCTCACAACGGAGATTTATCACAGATCTGATGAAAGATCGTCAGTTTTCCTTTACAGATCTGTAAAGTAACTTTAACTCCCTAAACTCACCTCTTTTTCTTATTTTATTATTATTATTGTTGTGTGTTTTTTATTGTGTATGAGGCTCTCTGCTCTGTTTTTATTGTTTCAAAATGAATAATTAAAAAGAAACTCATCAGATCTGTTACCGAAGGCGGTCGTCTTCAGTCTGTGGTTAAATAAAAACAGAGTTGGCACGCAGACGCCTAAAGAAGAATAAAGCATATGCTGTGTGACAGCGTAGGTTACGGCTGGACATCGTCCAACCAACTTCACTCTAAGTAATTCGCTCCAACTTCGCCAACTTCTTCATTTCCAACAGGCGGAGTATTCAAATTTAGACGGAGCGAGTGTCTGTCACGTCGTCATGGAAGCACGCCGCCGCCACACGGGTCTGGACGGCCTTGTCCCGCAGTCAAACACGAGTCTTAACTGTGTGTCTTGCTTTCTAATACAAAAGCTGTCAGACATAAGAGCCGGCTGCCAAGTCAAAGGGAAATATATAGAGAGGATGTCATAAGGAGGGCAGACATTTGATCTTGAGGATGAGAAGTGCATAAACGTCTCTTCAGCTAAAAGGTCAGGAAAAATTGTCGAGAGCGTTTGGAGAGACACGCAGCATCCTCACAGCATCACTAATGTTCCGGCGCCGAGGGTTTCCCTATCGATCTTTATCTCCGCCTTCATCCCGCCGTCTCTTTACTGCCTGCAGTCTCACTATACCGCCATTAGACTCTGGATGGTAAAATAATAACTTTCACTTCACTCCTCCAAATCCTGCTTCTCCTCTCCTCCTCTGAACAAACACACTAACTGCACTTTTTCATGTCATCTCTGAAGTTGGCCTCTCTTTACTCCGGTTTTAATTCTGCTGAGACAAATAAAGAGCTGAAAAATCTAAAACGCTTCACATTATCATTCAATTAGCTATGAATGCAACCCAAAGTGGAGATGAAAAGACACACTAGCCCGAGGATGGAGCCTGGATCAGCACTTTCAGCGCTGCAGGAGGAGGAGGAGGAGGAGGAGGACCGGTTTTCAGCCCCTCTCTGAGGAAAGTCTTTCCATCTCAGTCAGACCTGGATTATACCTCTGCTGCAGCTGGATTATCAAACTGTGTGTGGGTCTAAATTTGATCTATCAAACGTATATTTCAGAGGGTCGGTCCACTCTGCGGCGTTTGGATGAGATCAGATCAGAGTGAGTGGAGTTGGTCAGCCGTTCTTCTTCTTGTCATCTATATGTCCTGCTACGTTAAATGTCCCCTGAAGCGTGGACACTGGCCTCACACGTTTCCATCAGATTAAACAGATCTGAGATGAGTGCGAGCGTGTCAGTAAACACATCATGTGCAGCAGACGACGTAGTGAAGCAGAAACGCTGATACAAAGGACAGTTCGGGCCGCCGCCGCCGCCGCCATCTACATCTGCTTATTCCATGTCGACCACACCTGTAAATGTCAACTAACGCAGATGAAGCTTAGAGAAATAAGATTCTTGATATGTAAGGTCATTTTCACGTATGTTTTTCAGATGAGTAAATAAAAAGTACAACGTGGACGGAGAGCGACTGAATCAGTTCATCTCTTCACTCAGCAGTAAAAACCAAAGATCAGGTCAAATAAAGGGTTAAAAAAAACACAAGAATAAAATTAATAAAGTCAAAATATTAAATAATGAAGCCATGAGAGGAAATAAAACTATGACAATCACGGTTTAACTGGATATAAATATTAGATCATGAAATTAACGGTGTGGGAGAATTAAGTCATGGTGCAGAGTCCACACATGTCCACAGATGTAGATCATGACTCCAGCGGGTTCCTGCTCTGACTCCTCTCTAAATAAAGACAATAAAAGCTGAAAAAAAATACAACTTTAAAGGTAAGATTATACAGAAAATAAAGTCATGATAATTCTCAGTTAAATATATCATAATATATCAAGAATAAAGTCATTAAATTTAAAGAATTAAGTCATAAAACTTTAAGGAAATATATTATTAAGAGAATAAAGTCTAATTATTACAGGACAGAAACAGTTATTTAACAAGAATTAAGTAGAGTCATAATATTACATGATAATACTGTGAGGAAATAAAGACTAAAGTTGTGATATTATATGATTAAAGTAACAGACATGATGTTAAAACAGTCTCAGATTAAATTTGATTCATAAACTCTTTTAATGGTCGTGTTCAGAATATGTTCATGTTATTGTGCAGATTGAGGTCCTTTTATGACTTTAACAAAGTTATATTTAATGATGAAGAACAGGTTCATATCTGAGGAGGCTTCATCTACAGGTTGGAGGACATCAGGTGGAACCAAAGACCAGAACCTGGATCTGTCCCTGAGACCTGCCCCGTCTGTTCAGATCCTCCATGAAACCACAAAAACAGAACTAAAGGCGAGTTTTTTCAGGACCACACAGCCTTGTAAAAAGTAACACTCACAGACCTTATGTGTCTGACCTTAAATCAGCGGGAAAGAGACCGAAATGAAGATAAATAAGGAGTTTTTTTAAACTTTAAGTGTGTCCCAAACTGAATAAAAGCTGAATAACTATAACTCTCTAATAAACACAGACATGATGTATTTTAAGACTATTATCATAAAACTTTAGTTAAATAGTTTTAAGCCTTCACCTGTATAATCCCACTGACAGGTAACTGCAGTCTGAAGAGTCGGATTAATAAATTCACCTTCAACTCTCTTCAGTCACCTTGAATTTAAAGTGAATATCCTTCCTCTCCTCCATCTGCTCTCACAGTTTGACCTTTCCTTCTGACATTTGACCTTTCAGCTTCCTTCTGTATGTACAGGGACGGTGTGTGTGTGTGTGTGTGTGTGTGTGTGTGCACTAACACATCATGATGTTCTTGGACTAATAACACAGTCATGGACCAAAGTGTTGTCAGAAAACAGAGCAGCTCTCACAGAGGTGAGTTTAACTGATCGTCACATGTTTGAAGTTAAAGTTTTAAAGGTTGAAAATAATTAAATCTGTTTTTATTCAGTTTTTTCTCGTTGTTGTTCCAGTTCACATACAGAAAATAAAACCATTTCTGTGAGAGCTGGTGTGTTTTCTGGAGGATTTCCATCATGACTGTTTTTAAGAGTTTGGAAAGACGTGTGATACTTAAAACCAAAGGATAAGAAAGGGTTAATCATCTAAAACCAGCATTTCTTTAAAACTGTCACTTCCTGTGGGTGTCTAAAAAATCTACAGGGTCTCAATTAGTGGAAGAGGGATGTTTTCTCTGTTAAAGTCACCCTTTATAAATTAGGCTGATAAGAGCGGAGGATTTCCACATTAAATTCACAGTGCGGCTTTAATGAGGCATAATTTGCAGATTAAAAAGGAAGAATATATAACCAGTGTGACACCATCAGCGGGAAATGGAACATTTCATCATTGATCCTTTATATGCACTCATAAAATCATCTATTATTTATGTTATCTGCTGCTGCAGCAGAGCCTGGTTTAAGGAGATGGGAGGTGGTGGTGGAGGTGGTCTCCTGGTTCGTCGGACGGACGCTCACTCATCGGTTTGACTTCAAATATTTACAGACCGGTTAACGCCAAGTGGAGCCTGGAGAGACGGAGGTGATCCGGGGTAAACGATGAAGGCGTCTCTTCAAAGAGAGTCTTTGAAGAGACGCCGAACATCTTCACCAGAACCTCCTCTGACGTTTACGGATCATGAGACGAACAAACCGAGGAAGATATTCAGTCGTCTCCTCAGACTTTGATTTCATTAAACTGCTAACAGACCATCAGTCCAGGGTTCGACTCTAACTTTGTTCACATGTTAAAAAAAGTAAGGAGCACAAAGAACTTTAGGGGATCAATGAAAATTGATCAATAACGTTTGTCTTATTGATCGACCTTAGTACTATTATTAGAAATCAATTTTAGGTCTTTTGGTCTATTGAAGGAAAACAGCCTTTTCTGAGAACATCAACCTGACGCTCTTGATAGCCACACGTCATTGTTTGAAAACTGCATGCGTCTCGTCAAGTCGACCTCCTCGCTTTAAAAAACCTGAAATATTTCCACACGTTTGATTTGTGTTTTTCTTTTTAGTGCATTAAATATCTCATCGCTGCTACCGCCATTCTCGTTTGCCTCCATATTTGTTGTGCACAACACCTGCTTGCGTCAGCGCCTGAGGATGCGATGGTGTATTCAGGAAACCTCGGAAAATGGGATAGAGAATAGAAACATGAAATAATGGATCTAACAAAGAGATTTACCGGTGCAGACAGGCTAGAAGAGACGCACAGTAAATTATATCCGACGCTCCTCAAATCTACCGGTGCAGTCGCATCGCAAACATTTGTATCCGACCACTGATATGAATCTGTGAATCTCGACATCCCGAGTGTGTCATACACTCACATCCATACAGTCACACACTCAGCGGCTCGGCGCCATCCTCTCAAGAACGTTTAAAGACAGCTCAGAGTTTGCACTTTCCCAGCCGAGCCTCTCTGCGGTCACTGAGCCAGAGGAAAAACAACACATGCATATAAACGGGAAAATAAGACATAAAACAGAGAGTGTGAACTGTGGAGGAATAAAAACACACACCTTTAAAAGGACAGAGACGGCTTTAGTCCACTCACAGATTCGTCTCCTTAAATCGTGAAATGAAGCTCTACACGAGTTTTCTAATTTAATTTTCTCGCTGCTCCAACATTGATGGAAATTCTGAGATTTTCCGAGTGTTTGTTTTCTCAGAGCGAGCCCTCGTCCCCGGGTTGACTCGGCTTTTTCAGGTTCATGCTTTTCTTCAGCTTTATCTCCTTTTTTATGTCTGTATTCTGTTCCTCTTCATTACTGTCTCCTGGAGGCCTTATTTTGACACTCCGAATACATCTGAGAGCTGAAGAGGTCAACAAAGAGGCTTTTAAATTCAAATTCTCTCGGTACGGGAAACACAAACCGGAGCAACAAGTGGCTCAGAGCTGGACCCCGGCCTGTGAAGTGGGGCGCAGAGTTGAAGGGGAGCCCTGCAGCTCTGCTCCCACACTACAGCTGACCTGTGAAGCCGCACATGTTCATTATGTGTGGTTAGTGTGTGCCGCCGCCGGCAGCAGCAGCTCCTGCTCCTCTGCTGCTGAACGGAGCCGAGCCGCTGCATGCATTAGTGCTGTATTGATAAAAAGGATGCTAATGCCTCAGGGCAGCATGATCCGGGCCTCAATACGATCCGGGGTCGATGCAATCTATAGGACCAGGGACAACAGGCTTTCCCATAGGGGATACTCTGTGTGTGTGTGTGTGAGGTGAACTGAGCCTCGTAATGTTATTCAGCAGCTGGTACTAAAGGATTTCCTGCAGGAACAGAGCCCACTCTAGGAGAGGATTTAGAGTATTAGTCACTGTATGAACCTCAAACTTTTATCTTTATGTTAATCAGGTTCAGACTAACGAATACGATCAATCTGTTAGCCGCCTTTCTTGTGGTAAATACAGGAGTCTGATTATAAACAAGAGAAACAGCAGAGACGACCACAGAGGACGAGCACACGTAGTTCATGAGACGCAGCTTCCTGTTCACAATGTGGCAAAAATGTGAGTTTAGGTGAAAAAAACAGTGGTAGACCATCATCTGTATCCCCCGAAGGACACTACTGCGCAGGGCGGAGTCGCGTGCAAAATTTTGAGGGTTTCACGTGTCAGATCGAGTGTTTTTTATGTGCTTCTAACTCAGTTAGTCCACGCTATACAAACTCAAAACTTTCATACTGAACCCCAGACATTTGAAGGAGTTTTTAAATTCCCCCGGACAGCCACAAAAAAAGGGGATTTGTCCGGGTAAAAGAGGACGTACAATCAATTATCACGATGTATTATTTTCCTATCAGCTGATATGGATCAATATCAGGATATAAAAATCTTACAGTGTTTATTGGTCTCATGTCTTTTCCAACACAATAATCTCCTGCATCTGTGAGGTCTTTGTGTCTCTTTGGCGTTTTGTCGTAAGGCGTCGCTCTAGAGAAAGCCGACTGAATGGTCGTCTGTTTCAGGCGCCATGGGCTCCTCGCTCCTCTCGGGGTTGTAACCTTTGGCGTTGCGCGTGCTCTGCGGCGTGGCGCTGCTTCAGGTGGTGAAAAAGATTTGAGGTATTCCCCGACTTTGTGAGAACATGTACTCGACATAATTTACAGTCCACATTACTCTGCTTCATGTCCGACCTCCAAAAACCAAAATACCTCCACACCACCGACGTTTTCCTAACGCCAGTGTTGTGGTTGACATTGATGTGGTCATCTGTTGAGCCTTCATGGTCATTTCTGTCGGGGGTAGCACTCATTTTCTTTGTTTCTCACCAACAGTGCTGTCGGCTTCACCTGTTAAAGTGCTATGGTTGGGTGGAGCTGCTGTCTGCTACGACGCTGCAGTTGGTTGATACTTGGTTCTAATTCAGAACATGATTGGTTCAGTCCCGGAGAAACTCCCCTTTTCATTGGCTGTTCGTATAGTCTACCAGAAAATGCCAGAATGCCAGGGAAATCAATTTTAAATATATCGTTATTGTCTTATCGCCCAGCCCTGCGGTCACCCTAACTAAACTTCAGATTGGTGATTAACTGTCAGATAAAAATGATGAGAGGCAGAAAGAAACGAGAAACTGAGAGGATGAGACATCTACCAAAAGGGAAGAAAACAGGCACAAAGCAACGCAACCTATAAATGTGAATAACAATTAAGAGAGTACAGATGACATTAGTCATATCAGCTGATGCGCTGTGACCTGCCTGAACTAACACTCTACTCAGTTTTTTCTTAAGTGAACATTCACAGTCTTTAAGCGTCGCTGCTTTAGTTTCATGACTTTGAAAAGGTGCAGAATCTCCTCATAATATTCTCCCCACAGTGGTCAATAAAGCCTCATCTTTTCTTTCTTAATGGTGCATTATGGGTATTTTAATCTAAACTGATGGCGTTTTTTAAGTACATTGATTGAGCTGCTGAAAAAAAGACAAAAAAGACCTGTAATGATTTAAGAGAAAGAAAATTGATCAGTTACATCCATAAAAGTGAGAGAGCATCCTCCATTACACCAGATTCACCCTCATTTACACCATTATTCTGAGCGATCTGTCAACGGCTCTGCCCGAGGACCACGCTGAAGCACGCCGTTCCAGCAGATATTCATAAACCGAAGCTCACTGTAAGTGGACGGACCCGGATCCTCAAAGAGTCCCGGCTCCGTGTCTCCTTGACTTTAATCGTAACCACAGTGAGTCTCATTAATGCGACATTATGCTGATTTGTAGGTTTTACATTGGCAGTCTTTCATTGTGTTTGACCGGATTCAGCAGCGCGCCTCTAATTGCGGTCCTCGGGGGATAATGAAGCTCTGCTGAACATGGTAACAGGATACAACAGTGGATAAAGACACTTCTACAGCCGTCTCTGTTTTCAGCCCTCTGGTGATGGTCATTTAGAAGTCTTTGGACTGTGAGCTTCATTGTTATCCAGAGCAGGAGAGACAATCAAATAAGTGTCTTCAGATCTGGACATCGAACCCCGGAGATGTTGGCTGAAGAAGAGCAGAGTTGATCTGCACACCTTTAGATAGTCCGGTTTAATCAGACAAAAGGTTTTATTTCTGAACGAAGAGTTTAAAGATGAATGTTGCCGTCTGAGGAGCCATAAACAAACCTCAACAAAAAAGGACTGAACACAATTCACCTACTCTCTTCCAGTAGCAAAATGGTTCATATGGTGATTTTTACTTCAAGGAAATGATCATAAATGTTCTTCCTTGAGCTGTGGCACCCCGCTGTAGTCCATAATGGACTGGCCTGAGGTCTCACTACAAACAAGCGTCTGCTGGAAGAGAGTAGGTGAGTTGTGTTTAGTCTCTTTGCTAAAGAAATGAGTCAAAGGTAAAAAGATGTTTGGTGTCTAGTACTATGTCTGTGACCCTATATGTACTAACCTCAGTAGAACATGGTGTAGTTCCGTTCAGTAACAGAACCTCATTGAAAAATTAGCTGATTTAACTTTACTGTGCTCTTGTTCAGATATATTAACTCGACAGCACATAAATCCATACCTGTTAACAAAATCATGATTTTATTGATAATTCGGCTCAATAAAAACACCTTTACCTTTTCATTTTACTACAGTAGAAGTTTATTGGCCCAGCTTATAGACTACAGAGGTGGAGAAACGCCCCCGCTTAAGTTTATGTTTTCTAAGGAGTTAGAACAACTCTGAATAAAGTACTATGTCTGTGACCCTATATGTCCTGTTGATGAAGTTAGGTGCTGTTCTGAGCATTATTTGTGGCTATAGAGTGGCGTTTTGGTTGAGGGCGTGGCTCTGTGTATTGCTATCCTGCGGTCGTTACTAAAGTTGGTATAACTAGAGAAGGAAGCGGTCGACAACATTCGTCTCTGGAGGGGGGTCTAACTCGGTGTTACGGTGTGTTTGACCCTAAATTAATTTTATGTGTAATATCCCTTTAAGACCCTCAGTATTCTGTGATTATTGAGCTGCTGCTGTTAAATTAAACTGCTCTGAGAGTCAGGTCCTTTGTTGTGTATGAAGAGGTTTTTTTTATATCTTCAGGGAGAAATAAGTGCTGACCGAGTCCCTGAGATGTTCAGTCGTGTCCTCGGCTTTTCAAAGCGTCCCTCAGCTCAAGTTTAACGCTGACAACCTCTTCAGATTTGGATGGACTCTGAGGACCTGATGGTCATAATAATTTAGTGTTCATAAACATGAAAACAAACAGAGAGGCATGAGGATCCCTTTGGAGGACTAAACTGAGAGTGGACCATAATCCTGGAGGTTAGTGAAATCCTCACTCCTCATCTGTGACCCGGTTTCTACCAAAGTGGTCCTGGTGTTGGTTCAGGGTTAAAGCTGTCAGTAAATACGACTCGTATTTCCCAGAGAGTTTCTGCAGAGTTTGTAGGTACGAGTAAAAACATATTAGCCTTAAAGTTTGTTTGAAAACATGATATCAGCAAATATTTAGGCTCCACAGTCAGGATCCTGATCATCTACATCCACTCAAACATCACACATTAAACATTGAGGTACCGAGCCCCGGGGAAATCAGTGAGACCTGAATGATGTCAGGACTGTTCGTTAAATTCAGCAAAAAAAACCTCAGAGAAAAGTGACGAAGTCTGCAGAGAGTTATCGTAGAGACAAGTCTGAAAACAAACGTCTCCCCGTCAGTATAGGTCAGAAAATCTGATTTACAATCAGATTAGATTCTGATCCGATTGTTGGAGGTAGTCTACGTTGACTGACAATACGATTGATGCGACATACAGACGACTGACTGGATCGTTTTGGTAAATAGACTAGATTATTCGTTCGTACGTATGGTCACATAACAACGCCCGTAGGAAACAGGAGACCCAAAGGAAGGGGCAAGCTGACCATTCAAGGTAGCGAATTCAAGTACTGTCTTCTTCTCTTGTTCTCCAAAAACGTCTTCAGGACGAGGAACTGATGAGACCGTAGAGCCGCAGATAAAAGAACCACAACACGAGAAGTAAAACACGACGTTGATCCATTTTCCAGATGTAAAGAAGAAGCTGAAAACAGAAGTTCAGCTCTTCTTCACTCTCACCTTTGAGGAGTTTTGCAGATGTCGTACGAGTTTATCAATCAAAGATTTACTCAATTACACTTATTTTCACTCATATTGAGGAAAACTTTGAATGTAAACGCAGCGACTGTCAGGTCAGTATAGATTAAGAAGTTTTACGTCTTAAAGTAACTTCCATGCTTTTTTGTGCGTCGACACTCCGACACATCTTCAGTCATGACAACAGAAACACTGAAGACTTCTGCAGAATTAGAGAAACTGTACTTTTAAGTTTTTGGGGGTTTAATTCTCGCCACAATCAGCATCCCTCCAGCCGCTCATGTAAGGGGTCCCAGAAGGACTTGGAAGGACTGGGAGCCGGTTTTGTGGAGGTCATGTTGCAGAGAAGTCCTTAGTCCCTGGCCCCAAAGCGTCCCTGAATCGGCCTGGGTATAAAAGTGGTATCTAAGCATGATCTAATACTTCCTCTTCTCTGGTGGTTAAATGAAAATGAGACCTTGTTTCGTCTCCCTGGAAAACGCTGGCAGGAGAAAACCTGATTGGTTTATTCTCATTAGCTGCTGCCGGTGGCTGGAGGGCGACAAAGTGGTGGATATTTCCATTTTCCTGCCTCTGATCATTAAATTCCATCGCCGGCGGAGATACTCTTCATCCCCTCGCTGGTATGCATTTAATTTCGTCTTGGTATGAAGAGTTTTGTAAGCTCTGTTTGTTCAAGGATGCCATTAGCCAGCCCCAAAGCTTCTGGCCGGTTTGATCCGGTTTTACACCTGAGAGCCGCCCGGCGTGAACACAATCATCCTCTTCTTGTTGACCACGGCGCAGCGGGGGAGTCTTCCCTTGCTCCAGGCGCCCTGACAGTGGTTAGTGAAAGAGGCAGAGAGGGAGGTTTTCCCTGGTCCACCTACACGGGTCTGTGGGGGGGACTTTACAGCAGGGTTTTACCAAACTGAGGAGGTCTTTGAGTTCCTCTTTTACACGGTACAGTGTTGGTTTTTTAAGAGAGACTTTTAAAGGTTTGGACTTTACGATGAAGGAGAGAGTCCGTCCACGTGCTGCAGAATAATTATTATGGAGTATCTAAAAGTATAAAGACATGTAGTTACACTAAATTTACATCCTGAGCAAAATGTTTAAAGCCAATCAAATGAATTCCTCACAATTTCTGCCTGTAGGAGTAAACCAGAGCGAATCCTTTACACAGTCACGGGCAAAAATCTACTGACATGGAAGAATCTCTCCCCCGCCCTGAAAAACTCACCTCTCTGTGTGTCGCCGTCTGTCGGCGGAAACAACACAGCAGCGAGCAGCACGCCGCTAAACGAGCGCGAGTCGTCGTTCTTTTATAAAAGTGGAGAGAGTAAAAATAAATAAAGATGTCAGCTGTAGCGAGGATTCAGATACTTTTAAAGACATCAAATATCATATTTCTTTAAATCGACTGAAATTAAATCTTCTTACAGGAAAGTTTAAACACGTGTTTTAATGTAAAGGCGCCATAATGACCTGTTTTATCTCAGTCAACCCAGAGTCAAAGGCGGCAGTTCCACTCCCGACCAACATGCCAGGCTCACGGCTGAGCTCAACTGAACCGAGAAAAGAACGAATCAGGTCTCAGAGTGATTCAGTTCACGTCGTTCACTCAGCAGGTCTTTTGAACGGATCGTTCATGAACGACACAAACACTAAAAAGACAGTGAAGCTCCTGATCAGGTACGTAAACCTCTTAAAGAGACAGAGTCAAACAGACAAAACTCAGATTATTTTTTCTGCTCTCAGTTTTAAAGAAAACTCAGATCTGATTCGTCAGTGTGAAACAGTCGGACTGAGAAGAAGAGCAGCCTTGAGAAAACTGAGGAGATAATATATAATCAGCTGATGAAGGACGACAGACAAAGACTCTATTATCTTTGCTATTCCTGCGTGTTGTTTCACAGCAGCAGGTCCGTCTTTCGCGGCTCGGCAGCCCTGAATAAACGAAGCTCGATGTTTGAAAGACGACCCTTGACCTTTGACAAAGAAAGGAAAACAGAGGCAGAGAGGAGGAAAGGAAGATAAATATATATATTTATTCCCTGTTTCTTTGAGCTGAGGAGGAAGTCTGGAGTGTTGTCCTCTCTTTGGTCAAATATTTTCACATGACATCGAACACCCTCCATTTTCAGGTCAAGAGACTCTCGCCGTATCGACATCCACATTTTCTCCTCTCCGTACCCACGTGACGCTGCGGTCTCACAGCTTACCCACTACTTGTGATCCCCTTTAAAAAAAAAAAAAACAGCAACAACAGCCTGTGGTCTTTAGAGGAGGTCTTTTGTGAGGCAGTCCTTCAGAGTGTCATGGCCACTCCACATCCAAGGAGGAGCTGGAGGAGCTGGAGGAGCTGGAGGAGTGGAATGCTTTAGTGATCTCAGGAGACAGAAAAGGACATCTTTGTTTCAGGTTTCCTTCATATCACTGTCACACAAACACTCCGCTTCTAGTTGTTTTGTTCCCATGGTGACGGGTTACTCAACTCGCTGCCAAATCACCATAACAACAAGCTAAAAAAGGGTGTCAGGAAAAGGACTCCTTCGTGCCTAAGTACGGGTTCGTGCGCAAGATCTTCATGCCAGCATAAAAAAAACAGTTTATTCTTGGAGGTGGATGATAAAGAGACGTAAAAGTCTCTGTTTTATAATTAACCTCATTTAATTTGATCACAGCAGAGACTCACGTTTGAGACAAACTTCTGACTGAGAAACACTTTTAGACGTCAGAGCAGGGGCGTGTCCAGAGAGGTTTGACGGGTGGCATGGGCCCCTTGAAATCTGGCCACCCCAGGTGTCACCACCAAAACCGTACACCGGGGTTGGCGATTCTCCTCAAGGGAAAATGAACAACTTTGGTTTTTCTTCAACACACTGAAAATACTCTGACAGATGTGTTACGAGCTAAAATAGTTAGCAGAGTGATTAAAGTGTCTAGTCGTGGTATAATTACTATAGTGGACCACATGAATCCATCATATTTCAAGCTACTGGGTCTAAGTTGTTCCTCAAAACCAGGCAGCAAAGATGTGAGGGGCAGAGTGTTAGCTTTGCCGCTTATTAGCCAACCGCCAAACATGTTTTTGTTTCAAGTACAAGAAAATACAAAGTTGTGTTTTTCTGTGTTTATCTCAGATTGGCAGGAAAAGGATAGAAGCATTGCATTGTGGGAGAGTTTAATTCAAATTATACTAAAGCGTCTTTAACTAAATTCATCATACAGAGTCGGTGAATCTCAGTGTCTTCTCTGTGAACTACGACAGGATGAACCCTAACCCGTGTTTGACGACATGTTGACCCGTTCGATTTCTTACACGTCAGCTGCCAAACCCTGAAGTTTTGTTTATTCTATTTCATGTTTTATGTGCTGAAATTTACAGTCTACCCGTCTTAAAAACAGTTTAAATGCGGCTGGAGAGAAAAATGACTCCGGGTCAGTTAGCAGCACAGAGTAGTGTTGTGTCATTCGCGAACGATTCGTTAAAAAGAACCGAATCTATTGAGTGAACGTACTGAACCGAATCAGTTCCTCTAGTGATTCGTTCGTTTCTCACAAGTGAGAAACAGCATTGCCAGGCCAGCAGTCAGCGAACGAGGAACCACATGAACCGACCCCTGAATCACTCGGTGAACGAATCACACATTGAACTACACTCTCTGGAATCATTTTTATCGCACAAAACTAAATACAGCTAAACTTCCACCACAACAACTTCGTACAACAGGACACAGCATGTAACAAGTAGTAGATTAAACCGGCAGCATCCTGTCATTGCAGCGGTTTGTGAGGGAACGGTTCATGTTCTGTTTAAATTCTTCTAAACGTTCAGTGAACGAATCACTCAAAAGGACAGTACACTTCAAACATCATGACCTTTGCCAAAGCAACGCAGACAAACTCTCTCGTCTCCCAGAAACTATGATCTGAACTGAATCCTGAGACGTTCAGCTCTGTATCAGTTCAGGAGGTCGGAGTCGCAGGCTCCTCCCGCCGAGCTCTGAATGATTCGGTGATTCAGTGAACGAATCTTTTGGATGAATCTTTTTAGTGAACTGATTGTAGTGATTCATTAAATCCAAAAGAACTACCATGCCCATCATGAGCACAGAGGTCTGTTTTCAGCAGACCTAACACGGCTGTTAGCAACAGTATCATCGAGGAGAATCAGTCAAAGTCTGGATAAACATGAGAAGTAATAAGTTTATTTTACTTATTAACTCTGACTGTACTTCTGTGTTGTTGTTGATACCCGTGTCTGGGCTGACCCAGCTGAACAGTATGAAATCACTCCTGCTTGAATCTTTGCGTGGACTTGTCGATATTTCTCGGTGGTTTTGAGCCGTTTGAAGATGTATCCTCATGAGATCCTGTCTGAAGGCCAACTTCAAACCTTGAGGATTGATTGATCTGTATTCAACAGAGACGGAGGTGAAATATCAACGATTGGTTCTTAAAGACCTAGACCCAAACAAACAGAACTTAAACCCGTGCGGTTCTTCAGTGGACTCATCTTTCCTCCATAAAACTACTCTGTTATCTGAGAACCGAGGTTTCTCAGACACAGACTAAGACTTGTCGGAGTTAATCTGAAGATCTGATTTGAATGAGACGCGGCGAAGCGTGGTGATTTTGGTTATAATCTCCACGCTGTTCGGCTTCACCTAAACGGAGCCGGACAGACGGACGGAGGGATGCTGCCGTTTCTCTTCCCTCTTTTGAGAATAGTAAAGGAGCGTTCAGCGAAGACAAAGCTGATTTATTATGTGCATAATATCACACACTCTCCAAATCTGTGAACAGTTTGGAGTTCATTTGTTGTGACACTCTGAATGAGCCCAACAAAGATGTATTCAGGAGGCCAGCTTTTCACTGTAGTGTTAAATATACCTCAGCAAAATGTGCTGTAAACAATATTTGCATAGCCTGGAGCTCAGGGGGGGAGAGCGATGCGGAAAAACACCCAGAGTGTCGTTATTTTCTTAATGGAGATCAGGTTTGAGATTTTCACCCACAAATGAGACAAATTTAGCCAAACAGTTTCTAAGTGAGGCGCTGACACGGGTCCCATCATTCATGAATCAACAAAGAGGACGGATAATGAATTCAGAACAGACAACATTATCACTTTGCACTAATGACAACAGCAGACCCATCTCCACCATTAACAATGAGTGGCACGACCTCTGACTTCCTCTGTTTTCCATCGGCTGGTCTGAAAACACGATGATGTGCAGGTAGATTGATATCATTACGTTCTTATTAATAATGTAGATTAACGGCTGTGTGAGAAATCTTATTATAGACTCCACAGCTGCAGGGAAATACGCACAGATGAGATCTGTGTCCATGTTTGTAAACTTTGGAAAGATGGAAATTTTCACTGTTTTAATTTTACATAAACATATCTGCAAAACGAAACTAGCGTTTAATCCTGCTGACCCGACACTAACCCGATATTTACATCTTTGTGGGCTCGGCTGTAAAACTGAGTTAACGATAAAACAAAGCGACTTAAAAACAGGTGGAAGGTAAAGAACGACGTCTCACTGCCTCTGCGATAATCCACCATGTCCTTATTTCTAGAGAGGTAACAAGGTAACGCTAAAATGTGATATTTTTAACATATTTCAACAACACCATGATAATATTGATAACCATGATAATTTTGGTCACAATAATCGTGATGTGAAATTTTCAGGTCTTATTTCTCTCCTCAGATTAAACCAACCCTGGACAAACGGAGGTTCGATAATACTCGACACAGTCTTTGTTTTTCTCTCTTTTTTTTTATCCCCTTTTTATTGTTTTAACTAATCCAACAGTTTTGGCTCGTATCTCACAGTTTTCTGCCAAATACAAGTTTCAGCCAAAGACGATTAGATTAACTTTGCAGTAATTGGACCACTGTTACTTCTTCTCTTATGTTCAGGCTTTAAACCTGAAGAAATACACCTGGAGCCTCCGTCTATACTCTGCATGTTTCTTACAGATAAGGACCAAATATTTCAGTATCTGTGAACTACTAACAGCTCAAACTATAACCTGTATAAAACACAAAAAAACAACATCATGAAAGTTGTTTAAGTGTTCAGAACTTTGCCATTAAACACCAATCTGTCAGTGGTACAGACTCACTGACGCAAACAGGTGAATAACAACCACTGGGGGGTGAATTTTCAGCAGCTTTGCTCCACCTTAAAGTCATGGTTGACGATTGTAGAGATTAGTAATTATTATCAACCTCGTTTCCATGGTGATCATGGTCCTTTAGTGCGATCTCCACAAAGTGAAGAGAAACAAGAACGGAAAAAATCTGTTCACCTTATCAGGTGCAGGGCTGCAAAAATATTGACCAATGGGAGCCATCCACCTCCTATTGATCAATCTCCTGCTCCGCCTCTCCATCCGATCACCTTATGGGCGGAGTCAAAGAGGAAATGTGACCAAGCGAGGAATCTAACGTGAATAACCATCGGGTCATCCTTGGAGCGGTGGAGAAAACAGACGCTGAGACAGCAGAGTTTTAGTTGAACAGGTCATTTTTATCTCCTTTTATCGTGGCTCATGTTACATAAATAACTCTGATTAGTCTCTGACATGTCAACCCGGTAGCTGTCCAGGCAGCTGCAGACGGCGCTCGCCAACAGAGCTGGCGTTTACTGCCGCTAGTTACTAACAATCCGACATGGTGAATCCTGTTTGAAGCTAGCGTAGGATCTTCTGACAGAGGGGGTGTGTCCTGGGGAGGGGGATACAGGTTCAGGGGGCGGAGTTATTGTGGGGGGTGGGACGCTTTTTTAAAATCTGCGGCTCAGATGGTCGACCAGGACTTGAAGTAATGGAAACCCTGTAAAAGCTGCTGCCTTAATAAAGAGGTGATCTGCAGTAATGACTTATTTCACGCTGATTTGATCGGGGTAAACTCTGCTGTGAGGTCGTGTAAATGTTTCAGAGAGTACAAACGCATTATCATCTCATTAAGACGGATCTTTAATTAACTTAGAGGAGGTAATCTGAAGCAGGGCGGACAAACAAAAGAGCGTCCTCTTCTCCAACCTCTCTGTAACTTCAGGTTTGTTGTTTCTTTCCTCTAACGGGGCGTATGAACGGAAACAATCCAGAGTCGCCCACTGGGAGAGATTTCCTGATCTTTCTTCAGTGATTTGGCGGATAAAAGGAATCAAGCAGCGGGATCAAATATTCACGAACACGTGGAGGCTCATGATTTATTGACTGAGAGCAAAGAACAATAGAGTCTGTGGTTTCTGATGCTAAAAGCATTTAGAGTGAATGGAAGTGTTTTTACGCTCTGAAAAACCAGAGAGGAAACAGTGACGGTGGAGCTCTCCCTCCAGAGCCATTTTGCTGCTACGCTACAGAGGCTAAGGTTAACGCTCTGCTCCAGAGGCTAATGGAACGCACTGGAGCTCGCCACTTACCGTAGAAGCACGGGCGCTAACGCTCACTGTCCGGGGAGATATTATGGCTTTGGGTTTGAAAAATGAATCGAGGGTTAGAGGACTGTTTGTTTAGAGATCAAAGAGGCGAGACCAAAGAACAGAGGGATGACGGAGAGCGCTGCCAACATGGACGCCGCTAAAGTGGAGGTCGTGAACATTAGATTGAGCTTTGTTCTCTAATGGAGAAGTCTAGGGTTGGTTTTAGACCGTTTAATGGAATAAAGACTCACCTGAGCGGCTCAGCGGGAGGCTGTAGAGACACTAATGGTTACTTTACTGGGGGGAGGGGGGCTCTCAGTGAGGGGAACTCCTGCTGTGTGTGTGGATCTGACTGTTTGGTTTCCACGAGAGGAGGACTTACCTTCTAATCCAGGCAAACACACACATGCTGGTATAGACTGATCAGTTTATAAAGTCTATATGCTGAAGGGAGAGACATGAAATTAATGTGAAGACGGGTTGAACTGGTCTCCATCTCTCTGACATGTCTTCATGACTTCATGCAGCATCTTTAGATTATTTCAGGTCAGTGTTCACCTTCTGCAAACCTCCGTCCACCATTGAGAGAAACACGTTAACTGAGCCGACGCCCACTTTTTCCAACCACGCCAGGACCAAAGAGAACCACCGCTAAATACTGGATCTATTTTAGGCTGGGCAATAAAACGATAACAATATTTATCGAGAATTAAATTTCCCTCAATATCTGTATGAAACATGATCAATATCCTTTTCAATAGTCGTCATTCTGACATGTTTTGGTTGACTATATGAACAGCCAATGAAAAGGGGAGTTTCTCCGGGTCTGAACCAATCATGTTCTGAATTAGAACCAAGTATCAACCAACTGCATCATAGCAGACAGCAGCTCCACCCAACCATAGCACTTTAACAGGTGAAGCCGACAGCACTGTTGGTGAGAAACAAAGAAAATGAGTGCTACCCCCGACAGAAATGACCATGAAGGCTCAACAGATGACCACATCAATGTCAACCACAACACTGGCGTTAGGAAAACGTCGGTGGTGTGGAGGTATTTTGGTTTTTGGAGGTCGGACATGAAGCAGAGTAATGTGGACTGTAAATTATGTCGAGTACATGGAGTAAGGAGCCCATCAGCTGAAACAGACGACCATTCAGTCGGCTTTCTCTAGAGCAACGCCTTACGACAAACCGCCAAAGAGACACAAAGACCTCACAGATGCAGGAGATTATTGTGTTGGAAAAGACATGAGACCAAGAAACACTGTTAGATTTTGATATCCTGATATGAAAAAAACATGTTGTGATAAACTTTTTCCCATATCACCCAGCCCTTCATCTATTCTACCCATGTCCTTTTCTAAGGGGACGTTTGCAGCAGCTGCATGTGGAAGTGTCTCTGAAAGTGACTCAGCATGAGGAGAACACTGATTGTTGTTCTTGTTGTCTTTTTCTTGTTTTTACTGAGAATAAATGATAGATATCAAATAAAAACAACAACATAATCTGATCCAGGAGAACTCCTCGCAGTGGAAGCTGCTATCTTTATTTGTCAGGGTTGGGCTGAAATCTTCAAACTTAAACTAAACACCTGTCTGATCTATTAGTTTGGTAATTTGATGCTTTACCCTCGATTATCGTCATTCTGCCGTGTCCAGACTCCCATGTTTCCCACCATCATGTCTGAATGGAGACCTTTGACTGGTCTGTAGACATAGACCTGCAGGAGAATATTTGGAGGTGGGTTTGTCAGTCTGATGTTTGACTCGTTAGAAATGAAGGAGAACAAACTCAGACAGAACTCAGGAACTGCACTGTCATTGTGTCTGGCAGACTCTTACGTTGGATCCAGCCCAAAATAAAACCACATATTTATTTAGAAACTCCTTAAAGCTGATTGATTCCAACACAAAACAAGATTTGTTTCAGCACAGCACAAAAAAAAACACATCAGAGTCTGGATCTGAACTTCTCTATGGATTAGAATGTCTCTACCCAAGTTGACAGCACCCTGCCAAAAACCAATAGATCATCATCGACGGCAAAGATAAACTAAAAGAAATAATGTGGAGGCTGCCGCCGCCATCGCTGCCGCTCAGAGAAATGTGTGGGGAAAGGTTGCCAGTGTTCGCTTTCTCTCCCAGATATGAAGCCTCTCCTCTCTGCTGCTGAATAAACAGAGCTCGCTGTTTTGTCAGAAGGATTACTCGGGCTGCAGAGGGCTCTATCACAACTCCCCCCTGTCATGGTGATGAAACATGTGAATGGAAGATTAGTGGTGGCACTGTTGCTTGTCTGCAGACATCTAAGAGAGCTGGCAGAAGAAATGAAGAGAAACAAGATGGACGGACACTCTGAGCATCCCAGAGAGGCCAGAGCTCGGTCTACTGGACCAAACGTCTGCATGCAGATGTGGATCATAGAGATGTAAGAGAGTGTGTGTGCAGAGTACAAGAGTTTCTGGATGATTTACACCTGATTCATTACTTCAACTAGAGTGGAGGAATCTGCTCAGGTGTAAGGAGAGCCGCTCGAACGTCACACTCGTGTACGTCATCCTCACAATCGTACAGAGAGGAAGCATCCAACTCATTTAGCAGTTTATTCCAGATGAAGGATTTAAAGTCTGAGTTAGCCGCCCTCAAACTTTCAGGTCCACCACCATCGTCTCATCATAAAACCAGGACTGGTCCACAGGTAGGTTTTGGGGGTCTTTTTAGAGGCCTTTTGCATGTTCTTGGATGTCACGAAAAGGCCGTCACTGCCTATCGTAGCTGATCGTAACCATTCAAGTTAACGTGTCAATTTACACCGACTTCTTTCTGTTCCTCTGCGGATCGCCGGACTCCTCAGCTGATCACAAGAGTTCTATTTTTTCTGGACGCCGGAGCATGGCGGATAAATTCAGCACAGATTAACCCGTGCTGGAAAGGAAGTCGGGCACAGACACAAAATAAAACATCCGGCTTCTTTTCAAAATAAAACACTCCGTGTTTCAGGAGGATCGTATTTCACACCATGCAAACGGGCGGAGACGAACAAGTGAAAGGTTTTTAGACGTCATTTCACCCCGATGACACCATGGATGAGGAGATGCTGATTCTAGAAGTCTAGAAGTAGATTTCCTCCTCTGGAAGGACACAATCTACTGCTTATATGTCTATGTGTCTGTCTTTAGCAAGACGACTGGTTATCGTACGATTGCACGTGAACCAGCAGGTTCTTGTGAGTTCTCATGATTCCCGCTGTCCGTAATCCACCACAAAGTTTGCCTCACAAACGGATACGGTAGGAATTGGCGTACGGCAAAAATGAAATAGTGGAAATCACAGTAACACCATTTACAGATGTTTCCGAGTGTTAAAGTACAGCTGTCTGACTGCTGCAGAGTCAGGTCCAGATCCAGATCAGTCAGGATTATAAAGATCCTCTAATCTCATCCTGTAAATCACTTAGTAAGAAAATAAGTGTTAGGCTGAGTGCCGTTTCCTCAGTGTGAAACTGCACTCTGGTCCACCATCAATCAGAACCTGTCTGTTGAACCCTGAGGCCTCAAATCTATCTCCTCAGCCCGGCCTGACACACTGAATACAGTTGCAGATGTATAGGAAGTGTTCAGAGAAACAGGTACTGAAGAGCCAGCAGCAGCTGAGTGGACTGAGATGGAGATCAGAAGGTTTGCGGTGCTGAACGCTCACCGTGAAGCCCTGAAGGCAAAACTGGATCCAGTCAGTCACCATCCAGTCCGCTTAAAGCGAGCTGTCACAGTCCTGAGCCGTTCTCCAGAACTGTTTAAGGAGCTGCTGTTTATAAGGCTGACAGGGGGCTCATTTATAAAGGCAGAGGTGGTGGGCCGAGCCGCCGGGAGACTTTAGAGCGCACGGATAAGTCGAGTCCAGGTGAAAACCACGTTTAGGCCAGAACAGCATCAGAAAACTGTTAGATTAAGTCTCTCTGTGGGAACATATAAACCCTCATTTTAATGGACTGTTGTACCTTCAAATTAAAGCCTTTTACTAATTTTTACAATTTTAACAAATTCTTCTTTGAACCTCTGAGGACTATCACACTGATATCTGGTGTTTTTATGTCTATAAATGCTCCAAATCACTCCAAGAACCACCAGGACAAACGTTTTCTTCAAACTACTATCAGCAGTTTTTGGCTGGCCGAGAAAAAGACGGTATTTATGAAGAAAATGAAATGAAAAAAATGATTACACTTTTTTATTTAGTTCAGAAAAAGTTAAGAACAAATGTCCTCGACTAAACCAGTCATTACGTTCCCACGCACAGTTTAATCGGACTAAGCTCATAATTCGCTTTTTTTCACCGAATCAGACTTCTCTCCTTGCAGCTGGCTCACGCCACGACAGTTTCACCTTTTTCTCGTCTTATCTCCGTCTGTCGAAGTTTTGTTCCTAGAAAAATATCCACACTGTTCAACCTCCAGACATCTGGACTCTGGAACAATTTCAGACCGCTTGGACCAGATTTAGTCGGACTGAGCCGAACAATCGAGACACTAATGTTAGAGAAGTCCGATTTAGAGCGACTTTTTATGTGTATTTTGTTTATTTAGCACAGATTAAAAACAGTGCAAGGAGGGAACGAAGCCGATGGGCTTATACAGAGTTCCACTCCCGTCAGGTCAGAGAAAACATAAGGTGCGGACAACTAAGTACACAGACTGGAACACAGACAAATCAGCAAACAGTGATAAAGAAAATAAAGTATTTATAAAAAGGAAAGAGATATGATCATAACAGATAATGATGTATTTAAGACATGATCAGATGAGATTTTAATGATATTTTAAAGGAGTTAAAGGATGATATTGATTTTAGAAATGCATCAAGATTATTCCACAATTTCGGACCTCTAAAAGTGATGTTAGACTGATGACTAGAAGTTCTACATGAAGGTAACTGAAGATGGCCATTTTGTCGTGTTGAGTACGAATGAAGGTCGGATGAAAAGGTAAAAAAGTTTCGGAAAGTTTCAGGAAGGGCTTGTTTGTTGTTGATGAATTTGTGGACATATAAACAAGAGTGAAGGACATTGAGTTTGTCAATTGGTAAGATGGAGTATTTAGAAAAGAGAGGAGCCGAAGGTTCGTGTTTGCTGGATCGTGATATCATTCTTATGAATCTTTTCTGGATTATTAATATTTTCTTGAGGTAAGTTGGATACGTTGCACACCATACAATGTTACAATAGTTCATGTACGGGAATAGAAAGCTGTAGTACATCAGTCACTTCAGTCAGTCTGAGGTGTTTCTGTGTATCAGAGAAGTCCACATAAATCCATTTTTGAACATGTAAACACACTGTCAGATCAATCAAAACAAAGAGGGTGGTTCGATGGTACTCCACTGTTCCTCTCACCCACACCCCCACAGTCGGGTTAAACCCTGGTCTTCAGATACAGCCTTCACCAGCGCTCACCTCGCCCACGTTCAGCGGCTCCCGGCTCATTGTTTCGCTGTTACTTCATCATGTGGACTGATTTTGATTGCGTATGCTAATGAGACTGCACACTTAGCCGTCGACATGAATCAATTCATTACACAGAAGAATTATGCATCGTGTAGTTTCAGCCCACACAGTCAAAGACGGATGTGAACTAATAGCTGCTGATGTATAAACGAGGAGTTGGAAACTCTGGCAGGTGAATCAGGAAACACCCGACAGTCATTTCCCTCCTCATGACGCCCACTTTAACATGTTTGGTGTTCTGGTTGTTTTAGCGTCTCTGATATTATTGTCCCCAGCACAAAGGAAGTGGACATGTTAATTGACATTCAGAGACATGGACTGGATACAGAGGAAGTTCCCCTCCAGTGTGGCTGACACAGTCCTGATATAATTAGAAACTCCATAACACCATTATCATTCACTCTGCTGTCAAAACGAGCAAACTCCATTATTGTATTCCTGCTGTCAGAGCCGAGTTTACTCGCCTGTTTGGCAAACTCTTTTGTCCACTTTGAAACAATTAATAGATTTTCTCTCACAGATCAATTAGCCCACTCTGGATACACTCACACACACACAGACGCACACACACACTCACATGCATCCGTCTGAGACTCTGCTGCAGGGCCAGTGAGTAATACTTTGCACAAGGTCAGAGTGCTGTTGCCTTAGCACTTTGCAAACAATAATTCTGCTCCTGTTATACAAAAAACTGCTTTGCAAGCTTAATCTTCTTGGTCATGGAAAGATTAGCCTCTGCTGTTTCCCCTGCTCATGATAATGAAAACTGTAACACCCGGCGAGCCGGCAGCACTGAATACAAGATGAGGACGCACCGTCAGACTAACTGACCCAAATTTGTCCCTTTACAAACCAATCTTCAGGCAAGTAAATAAAATCCGTCTCTACACTGATATCTTTTGTTACAGTTAAATCAAGCCTATTTCTCAGCTTGCTATATGGCAATTTTCACATCACCTCTTCTGCATAAATATGTCGTTTCTTTTGTTCGAAGAGAAGAGTGCAGCCAAACTGAATCTGCAGTGAGCCTTTTACTGTGATTTATACCCGCTCTACTGCTGTGTGGATTAAAATGTCGCCAAGATGCAACTTCTGCACAGAACCAAATTCATTATCTCTTTTTATAACGAAGGGAACTAAATCTTTCAGAGTCTCCGATGCGGCCCGTATATCCAGAACTTCTGCTTCTACCTCCTTTTTGGTTTTGTTTGAATGGTCCAGATTTGATGGAGTTCTGGCCCTGAGAAGAATGGTCCGATTGTTCAGAAACTTTATGTTAATCAGTCAGGATTTCCAACACCCCCCCCTCCTAATCCATTTTCCATTAATGCTGATTTCCTAGAGCAATACAGGAAATTACACCAGATCCTGCTTCAGGGGTGATCAAACCCGGATCACCCATAAAGCTGATGGAGTAAAGGGCACAATACGGTTCATGGTCAAGGTCACTATATAACGAGTAGATCCAAACCAGAGATCTGATTGGACAAGGAACTTCCCCATATATGGGTATCGTTCTTTTTCATTGCAGTACACCGTCTTTGAAGGGTCTGGATACCATGAAGGCCAATGACTCTGTGAGAGACTGTGTGAGCTAACCCCCAATTTTCACCACATCCAGAATGGCAACGATTTTCCTGTCTGCCAATTCCTACCGGATCCGTTTGTGAGGTGAATTTCATGGCAGATTACAGACAGCAGGAATCACAAGAACTCACAAGAACCCGCAGATTCACGTTCAATCGTGTGATAACGAGTTGTCTCTCTAAAGACAGACACATAGACATATAAGCAGTAGATTGTGTCCTTCCAGAGGAGGAAATCTACTTCTAGACTTCTAGAATCAGCATCTCCTCATCCATGGTGTCATCGGGGTGAAATGACGTCTAAAAACCTTTCACTTGTTCGTCTCCGCCCGTTTGCATGGTGTGAAATACGATCCTCCTGAAACACGGAGTGTTTTATTTTGAAAAGAAGCCGGATGTTTTATTTTGTGTCTGTGCCCGACTTCCTTTCCAGCACGGGTTAATCTGTGCTGAATTTATCCGCCATGCTCCGGCGTCCAGAAAAAATAGAACTCTTGTGATCAGCTGAGGAGTCCGGCGATCCGCAGAGGAACGGAAAGAAGTCGGTGTAAATTGACACGTTAACTTGAACGGTTACGATCAGCTACGATCGGCGGATACGACCTTTTAGGAGACGATCAGGATGAAGGTGGAGATTAGGGGTAACAGCTCAACAATTATCTCGTCTTGCAAACATCTGAAAAACTAACTCTGGATGTGATCTTTTAAGGTTGCAGTGCTTCAAAATCAGACATGACTCTGTGGGGGGAATCACCGCATGGACACAAAAATCCCTCCCACAAGACTTTGTGGCTATATCCATACATGCAGGTTAGAACTGATCCAGAAGGGGGAGTGGAAACGTGTCCTGTAGTCTTACAAACCAAGATCTGACACACTCAGTTATAGAGACACGGGCACCCTGGCGGTCCAGACCAAAACCCCAAACTGGACTGGGTCAGTTTATCAATAACTACAAGTCTCTTCTCATAATAATCCAGATTTGAACATGTATCTGTATGTGGAGGTTCAATCTTGACACAAGGTTCAAAGGGGTCTAATAAAGGTCATGTTTTCTTAAGTCCTGCCTGTAAACCAATGAGAGGCTCTGACAGAAACAGGAAGTGTGTCAGCTGCGCTCTTGGATCCACACGGTCTGTATCACCATTAATTCAAATGGAGATGTACACGAGCCTCACTCCTCACATCCATTGTGGTAATAATTGCATTTTTCCTGGCACTCACCTCCACTCCTCGTCTTAATTACAGCCCTCCACCTTTCACAGTCAAACAGCTGTTGCATTGTCTCAGGAGGGGGGAGGAGGCCCGTTATTTGTCCCTGTCTTTCAGAACTTTATCTCCATATTGATTCTTTTGTGGGAGAGGAAACTGGCTTCAGCTGAGAGGAGGAGAGGGAGGGAGAATAGAGCCATCAGTAATCTCCACCATGAGGGAGCAGTATCGATGGTTCTCCAGGTGGGACAGGTACAGACAGTACAGCTGGAGGTGCTTGCTCCAGTTTGTACTCGTGTCGACATGACGGAGGCGCTCTCTGCTGCTACAGCGAGCAGATGGGAACAAAAGAGGTAGCTGTTTGTTAGAATTACAGAGGAGCTCTCGCTGATAATCTCCCCGGATAAAAGAAGTTGGAGGCAGGGCTGGAGGAAGACGAGGCCGCATCAATAATTTATGAACGTGGCATCAAACAGCCACAGAACTTAATTCAAGTTTGGAGTGTTTGTGAGCGTTTGCAGGAAGCTGCGGCGGTGGCGGCGTTCTGCTGTGACCTTATATCACATCCAAATTCCAGGTTTAATCAGAGCAAGAGTAAGTTTTAAAAGTGAGTAATCAGACATTTGGAGATGATTTACGTCACGATCAGCCGCTCTGATCACTTTTATAAAAACGTCTGTTACTCTGTGAAGCTGCAGCAGGATCGGTCTAACCTAAGCCAATGAAAAGGGAAGTTGCTCCAGGTCCACTTTGCACTGAACCAATCATGTTCTGAATTAGAATCAAGTATCAAACAAATGCATCATAGCAGACAGCAGCTCCACCCAACCATAGCACTTTAACAGGTGAAGCCGACAGCACTGTTGGTGAGAAACAAAGAAAATGAGTGCTACCCCCGACAGAAATGACCATGAAGGCTCAACAGATGACCACATCAATGTCAACCACAACACTGGCGTTAGGAAAACGTCGGTGGTGTGGAGGTATTTTGGTTTTTGGAGGTCGGACATGAAGCAGAGTAATGTGGACTGTAAATTATGAGAGACACAAAGACCTCACAGATGCAGGAGATTATTGTGTTGGAAAAGACATGCGACCAATAAACACTGTTACATTTCATTTTTAACACTGCCCAGCCCTACCTCTGAGGCATGTGTGCTAAACAGCGCATGCTGTGAGGTTGGAGTATAAAGGCGTGTATTATCCACCTATCAGGTAGGATACACTAAAGCAGAGCCACACACAGCACTGAACCAAACCATGTCTCCACAACAGACTCTTTTTTTTTTCACTGTCAAACTGGGTGCAAAAGTACAGACTTATGTCATAAGCTCTTGTGGGGACTGCCAATTACTTTTGTGACTAACCCCCCAAGTGTAATCCTGACACAGCCTAATATGGAGAAGTGGCTGCAGCAGGATGAACACTCTCCGAACAGGAGGAGGAATACATTAGCAGCAGGTGGACTTGAGGCGAGCTTCAATTTGGCTAATCACATCAGCTCCACTCATATCCTTCAAAAAGCAGCAGACGGTTGCCAAGCAGGCCAGGAAAAGACCCCCGGTTCCTTCTCGAGGAGGCGTCGAGTCCCAGAACGCCGTTTAAAGACATCCTGGTGCTGAGAATGTGGAAACATTCTCATACTCAGAATCCTAAAGATCCTGTCACATCATATCGCATCACATCCTGTCACATGCTACTGTATCATATTGTATCATATCATATCCTGTTTTATCATATCGTATCATATTGTTTTGTATATCATATATTATTGTATCGTGTCCCATGTTGCATTGTGTTATCATATAATATTGTGTATTGTCATATCATACCATATCATAACATATCATATCACATCCTGTCTTATCATATTCTGTTTTATCCTAATGTGTCATATTGTTTTGTATATCATACATTAATGTATCATGTCCTACTGTCCCATGTGGCATTGTGTCGTATGTCATATATCATATCTTGTCTTATCATTTTGTATCTGATCATATCCTGTTTTATCATATCCGGTCATATTGTTTTGTATCATTCTATTATACAATATCATGTCATACTGTCCCATGTGGCATTACGTCGTATGTTGTATCATATCACATCATGTTGTATCATATAGCATTGATACAATACTGCGTGTCGTACTCTATCATGTTGTTCTATGTTGTATAGTACTGTATTGTATCATATCATATCCTGTTTTATCATATCAGATCGTATTGTTTTGTATATCATACATTATTGTATCGTGTCCCATGTGGCATTACGTCGTATGTTGTATCATATCACATCATGTTGTATCATATAGCATTGATACAATACTGCGTGTCGTACTCTATCATGTTGTTCTATGTTGTATAGTACTGTATTGTATCATATCACATTGCATCATACTGTATTTAACTATACCCCACTATACTCTATCATTTCACTTTTATATTATATTGTTTCTTGTTGTATTTAATTTGTTCTTGCTTCAGTTCATCTCCTACTGTTCATCTGTTGATTTTAGTATTGTTTCTGTTCAGTATTGTGTCATATTGCATCATTATATCATATATTTTTGACACTAAACCACATAATCTCATAAATCATAAATAAGGCTGTCCTCTTGGTGCTGATGGTGTACTCACTTGTTAAAGCTAAATTACTAGAACCAAAGTTGAATGACCTCCAGCTGGACCTCAGTTTCACGTTTCATGTTTGTTCGTTAACATTTGGCACTTGTGACATTTTAGGATTTTAATTGTTTTGATTGGAGGATTTTTGAACTGATGATATCAGAGAATAACTCAACCAGAGAAAAGTCATTTTCATTTTTCAGCGCCTACTGGAGTCTGTTTTTTTATTATTTCAGTTTGTTTTAAGAGAAACAAACCTGAATCTGTTTTGGCAGAAACCTCCACTCAGTAGTTTGTTAACTTCCACCTGTGATCTCGTCTCTCTCAGCAGGTGTTTGTTTTACGGGGTTGAAATGAAAACATATAGGATTAGTTGTCACTGTTGCTCTGAGTGAGTCAAACCCTGTTTGAGCAGAGAGTGAAGTTTCTCCTGTCAGCTCTTTTTCCCAATAACACGGGCTGACAGCTCTCTTCAAAGGTCTATTTTTAAGAAAGAATATATTATTCTGATTATTCAGGAACAGCAGAGCGGTTGGAGAGATCTTCGATGAATTGTAAAACAGACCCGTCTCCTCAAACAGAGGCGAAAATTGCTCTGCAGCACCCCAACTGCATAATTAATACCTCAGCTCCACTTGGACCGAGCCGGATCTTCTGATGCCACAGGACTAATTATTTTGGGATGTGTGTCGAGACGAGACCAAAGTTTGGCTCCGTGCACTCGCACACACGTTTCCTACGCCATTAAGAGGTACGACAATGACGAGGAGGTCGAAAGTTTCCGCCCATGTGTTTGATCAACACGCTGCGACCCTCTGAAACCAGCTCAGGCCTCTTGAGTTTGAGTCCCGCTCATTTGGTTCAGCTTCTCTCTGAGTAGAAATCACCATTTTTCAAGTCTGCAGTATTTTCAAAAGCACCAACTGCTATCATCATCTTCATCTTCATCATCTCAGCCAGAGCTCTTCTGTGGAGCAGAAGGGGAGACATCCAAGGACCAGATCAAAACCTCTCTGAAAGATCTGCCACTCCATCTGTCTGAGAGGAAGACGTGGTCACGGTTTATTCTGCCTCGCAGCTCGTCTGTCAAGACGCAGTCCAACACTTGAGGAGAGGCAAGGACACGGGAAGGAGGAGGAAGTCAGCTCAGGACGCTCTGCACGGACTGGTGGGTTAGATCCTGAATCCAAAAGACCACTTAAGTCTTCTGAGGTGAGACTTCTACAGTTAAAAATCCTCTTTGGTGGATTTTCTTGTATTTTGACTCTCTCTGTTCTGTTCTCGTCTTTTTTGTCTCAGTGAATTAAAGCTCTCTCCACTCTCGCACAGACGTGTTTTTCTCTCTTCTTCGAATATAAAAACCCCGGTCCATATCAGAGGGACTCAGAAACAGGCCGGACTTTTGAATAATGATAATGTGGAGTCAGTCCGTCAGGTTCAAACACCACAGAGGAACAGGGAAACAGCTGGAAAGGAAGGGGGCGTGGCCTAAATACTGCAATCATGTTTACAATCTCTGACAAGATGGCCGCCAAAGGAAAGTCGGAATTCAAAGTTTGGAAAAGTCGACTTTAACATCAGATAATGTGGACTAAAGTGTGTGAAGATCATTGATAGACGCTCACTGTCAATCAAACTATCTCAAACAGGCTGGAAAATACGAGCAGGATCCTGAAAGCACATCAGCTGTTCGAGCTCTGGAGACTAAATAATAATAATTACAATAATGACAATGATAATAACAACAACAACAACAACAACAACAACAATAATATTAATAATATTAATAATAACAATAATGACGACGACGATAGTAAAATAATAGTGATGATAATAATAATTACAATGACAACAACAACGATGATGATATTAATAATAATAATTATATTAACAACATCAATAATAATAATAATAATGATAATAAAAAATAATCAAATTAATCATAATTTTATTATTAATAATAAAAACAACAATAAAAATGAGGATATTGGGGAAATGAAGAATTATGATAATAATAAAAAAAAATAATAATAACAATAATAATAATAATAATCACACGCTGCAGATCAATTATTCATGCATGCAGTGTAAAGGGGGTCCTGGTTCTGGTCCTGGTTCTGGTTCTGGTTTTAGCAGAAAATTAGATTTACCTGACATGTTTTTACAAACACGAGTCTCGCTCTATTCGATGACTCATTCGCACAGACTCGTGCTTCCTCTATGTAGAGTCACACAGACGCAACCGATGGCGTCCCACTTCGACGATTACCATTCAGATGGCTGCTCCTCATTAACATTACAGACGAGTACACCACCCCTCTTCTACCCACCCCCCCAGACTGTGTGTGTGTGTGTGTGTGTGTGTGTGTGTGTGTGTGTGTGTGTGTGTGTGCCAAATCATTGAGTTTCCTGTTAATTAACTGTCGGCCTGTTGCCACCTCTTCTTGTTTTTGTTTTTGTTTTTGTTTTTTTTCATGTTTCCAAACAGCTTGTTGGTGTGAGAACTGATGATGCAGTTTTAGTCTTTAAATGTAGAACTTTACATTTACTAAAATTTGGGGATTTAAGGAGTGTATGAATGAAAAGGCTAAGAGGAATTAAAGTTAATGCTGTGGAGGCTTCAGTGATTTCAGTATCACCGACTCGAATCTTTCCTCAGGCTGCTGCCATTCCAGTACAGTCACTGTGGAATTAGAAATGATCAAGGTGTTCACTTAAATGTCCTCATTAATCAAATCTCATCTAAAGTGAAGAAGAAATAAGCCTGAATATCTCTCTGAAGCGCTGTTGGAGTTTGGCTGCTGTTGTGTCGCCAAAGAAAGGTTTTAATCAGGAGTTGGCAGCTCGCAGGTTTACACCGGCTTCAAGAATCTGTGACCGAGAGGGTAAGTGCTCCTGTCTTTGACTCCCAATGGAGCCCATTTTTTTTAATCATCTCTTTTTGGCCGTCTGCACGTTCAGCCGGATTGTTTACTTTTGAAACAGGAGGCGAGAAACTCCGTTTAATAAAACAATGGCCGCAAGCTTTGGCTCTGGACGGACACGCCGAGTTCTGGATTTAACAGTTACTGGGAAAAAAGACAAAAACTAGACAGGTTTATTTATGAAGCACCGCTCAGACTCGGAGACATTCAAAGAGCTCTGCAGACGAAGATATAAACCCAGAGTGAAAGACATTATAGTAACTTTAAATATAAATAAAGACGCCAACATACAAAAAAAAGATCAGATATGTAACACGGATGATTAAACATGTTCACCAGGTTCAAACAGACTTTATCAGACCTGTCACCAATATCACCAATATCACAAATATACTCCGACAGCCTCAAACTGTTTATTAAACAGAAGACTGAGGCGTTCACTGTGAGGCCGGCTTTAGGCACGGGTATTTAGGTGGTCCCCTGGAGCTCTGGGATCTCCAACCCTGGGACACCCCGGATGGTTCCCTGTCTCAGCTGCAGACCACTCACTTATGTGATGTTAGACAACTGAGAGCGAGGAGGAGGAGGCAGGTACAGGTGTGACTCTCACCTCCACTACCGTACACAGACAGACAGATAACAGTGTACCACTCTGTATGAACTGGATCTGGTGTTAAGTGTTAATATTTGAATGTCTTTAAATGAAGAAATAACCAGCAAATTTAATATATATGATAATTCTACAATAATATGACACTAATATTGATAATAGACTACAGTTAGCTGATGGTAAAATCAAACTTCCTATTTTTAAAACTGAATGGTTGATGTTGCTTCAGTCCTTTAATCAGCTGATATAGAAATCACTCTGTTAGTCTGAGTTTACTGGTTATGATGGGAAATTCAGCGTATTGGGATTGACAGGTCGTTTCCATAGCAACATGTCAAACAGAATAGAGGGGTAACGATGTAAATCTAACCTGTCGTCCAAAGAGGATTCTCATGGATTTTGTTTTATTAAATATTTAAGAGGATTTATTTTCCAAGTTCACCCTGAAAACATCATTTTTGTTTTTTTTCTTTCTATCTGCTTCACCCTCTAAAACTTCCTCTTTACATTCGCTCCCTCGTTCAGCGTTTGTTATTATTTTTGAAGGGGCTGTTCGAGGCTCTTGTGCTCCGTGCTCCTCTGAACAAATGTCACACCGACAGAGAGGACCAGAGATCCTCCTGGAAGAGCTGCAGGGGGGGAGAGTCTGCTGATAACAGAGGAGAAACACCATCCAGACCAAACAGCACAGACGTGTTTGTTTCTGTTAGTGTTCCTGCTGAATCAGAGTTTTTAAAGCTGAGTTTATATTTAGGGTTATATTTGGATAAAAAGGAGATGGTGTTAGTTCATGCAGTTGTTGCTCCTTCACAGCATCAAAGTTGATTTACTGTTAAAACAATAACCAAACATTTATCAACCTCCTCATATTCAATCTGTTTCTTCTCCTCACTCATTATTACGACTGTTATCATCAATAGTATTATTGATTATAAGTTTTATGAACTGTCTAAACTTGTCGAACACATTCAGTTAGCTGAAGTACATCTCTAAGAACTTTAACTTTCCATGTTCATGCAGAGAAAATCTGAATTATAAAAATATGTTGAGGATTAGTGTAACAGACAGTATATGTAAAACAAGAGTCGCCATGACGACAGGTTAATATGTTTGTCAAAGTTGTCTTTGTTTTTGTTTTTTCATGGTAAATTTAGTTAACATTGAAGTTGATGTCATTTTTACTTTACACTTTACTGAGGAAAACGATTTAGTGTTTGTCCTTATAAATAAGTTTAATTGTTACATGAATGACCGATGAACGTGGTCTGAACCATTGCAGCTATTTTGGTTTGAAGAGGGCGACTACAATTTTAATGTTGTTCAACTTCAGTTCTTTTAATACGTTGTTTTGTTGCTGATTTCTTTATGAATAAGTTTTTACTGTCATGTGTTTTACCTTTGTAGTTTTCACTTATAAGATTAAACAGTTGTGGTTTGAGTCAGTTTGGACCGTTAATAACCAACAGTTACAAATACAGAGATTATTGACGGCGTAGATTAGGATATTTCAGATTAAAGGTGTAATAATCATGACTGTGTGTTAAAGGGGTCAGTGATAGAGGGAGACGAGGTTCAGGATATTTAACCTTTATAATGTCAAATATCACTCTTTTAAATGAAGGAAATCAACATATTTTTCAAAAACATCTGCAGAACTGGGAATAAAAACTGGCATATTGATTATAGGAGTATCTTTGTCCTAAATCTAAACTCTTTTAATTATCTCATAAGAGTAAAAAAATGCTCTTTAATGTGATTTAAACATATTTTACCTTTACTGTCACACATCTTTGCTCCTTTTGTTAAAACATGACGGATTAATCCTTTAATTATTCTGAACGTTTGATTTAATTCACGACCATTCCTTTCATAACAACACCGCCGCTCAGAGGTATGTGCATTAATGAGCCTCCGCCCGCTCCCTACTGCACACGCTCAGTAAACACGAGTAATATCACGGTGTGTGTGTGTGTCCCGGTGACAGAGCAGGAGCCTCATTATCCACAGTCCCAGTCAGGAATGGCCTGTTGGATATTAATGCTAAAATATGAAAATTGAGTGTACTGCCCTCTGGACAACCAATATGCACCTAAAAAATTGAAACATGACTGTGTTTGGCTTTCACACTTAAAAGGCTTTGCATACATATGCAAGTCTCTTTGTTGGTACCTTGCGGCAGTCCGCCACTTTAATTTAGGATTCTGGGGAGCTCTGCTAGAGAGAGACATCAGACTCAGAATAATATTCCACATGAAGAGAGATCTCCCATGATTCTTTATTGATCGAATTAGGCAGCAGGACCCCCCCACCCCCAAAGACAGGAGCATCAGAGAGAAGGAGCAGGACTGATTAAGATCACTGCAGGAGATAGTTCGTTTTTAAATAAAAGAAATCATGTTTGGAATATTTTCGCAGCAGATTACCGTCATCTTTGATTTAGCAATAAAAGACTTTTTTTTCTCTCAAATGGGCCCCGAGACAATTTTCTTTCCACTACAGCGCTCCAGCTATAAAAGAATAACACCTGATGGCAATCTACAGTATAACCCTGCTATGGATCGTGAATATGATTATAGCCGTGATTCAGACGATAAAACTGTGCCAAAGCACCACAATAGTCGCGTTAAACAAGGGTTAGGATTGCTGGTTTTATGCAGCTCTCAGACGCCTGTGCTTTTATGTAAACACACACTTTGTTTCTGCGGTGAAGTTTTCAGAAAGATCTCAGCTCCTGAAAATCGTTCGTTTCATGTCGGTGACACTTATCACTGCACATTATCTTAGCAAACTAATAACGCTGTGTTTCCTTTCAATACAAAATAAAGACTCACGTACGGTGGAGCCCAAAGCACACAACTTCATTTGTGAAAAACAAATTTAACGACCCACAGACGCGCGTACGTGTGTGTGTTAGCTTTATTGGTTCGACTCCAGGGTGTGCGGATCCACGTGCAGCCACTTCACATGCTCACACACAGCTCCGGAAAAGCCAACACTCTGCTTCCACAAGACAAGATGGACTCAGATGTTTCACTGTGTGTTGCCAAGGACAACAACAACCTGGGAGAAACTGTCAGAAAAGTGCCAGAGAACTCGCAGGGAGCCACCAAACACACTGATTCAGAATGCTGCTGCTCGAGTCCTCACTAAGACCAAGAAAGTAGATCATATCACCCCAGTTCTCAGATCTTTACACTGGCTTCCCGTCTGTCAAAGAATTGATTTTAAGATACTATTGCTGGTTTATAAAGCACTGAATGGATCAGGACCAAAATACATTTCTGATATGCTGATACGTTACGAACCATCCAGACCGCTCAGATCATCAGGAGCAGGTCTGCTCTCTGTCCCCAGAGTCAGAACTAAACGTGGAGAAGCAGCTTTTAGTTTTTATGCTCCTCATATCTGGAACAAACTCCCTGAAAACTGTAGGTCTGCTGAAACTCTCAGCTCTTTTAAATCACAGCTGAAAACGCATATGTTTGCTGTGGCCTATCATTAAATCAAACCTGAGGCCTTTAATCAACATCTTCATCATCTGCCTGTCTTGATCTTTTTTTTTTCTATCTCTCCAATCTAACCTTTGTTTTCTTTTATCTCCAATCTTATTTTAGCTTTGAATGTAACTTTTAATCTGTTAAATGTCTTTTACGCTGTTTTTACTTTTTAAATTGTGTTGAATGTTTTGCCTGCTTGTTTCATGTAAAGCACCTTGAATTGCCCTGCTGCTGAAATGTGCTATACAAATAAACTTGACTTGACTTGACTTGACTTGTACCTGCGCTGTGAACTGATGGGGAGGAGAACAAGGCCAGTCTTGGCTGCTCCCATCCTTCCTTCCTCTCCCTGGAAATGTTTGCATGGAGAAAACAAACAAAGACGAAGCTTCTGGTTCACTCAGACTCAATGAGTGGAGCTCCCTCTCCTCCGCTGCTCTGGGACTGTGTGACAGCCTGAACCAGCTCTCAAATACGGAGGAGTTTTACTCAACACAGTCAGAACTCAGAGGTTCTGTGTGCTGGTCCGACACGGGTTGTTATTGAGTTTAGGAAACCACATCCTGAGTTCAATCAAAGATGAGATTAAAGGAGAAGCAGGCAGGAATCTGTGGAAGACACATCTTTTTTTGTGGTGTTTGATGATTAAAATTATTTTCTTATGTAAATAATAGATAGTAGATAACTTTTAGAGATATTATGTGAGACAACAGACAATTGAATTTCCCTTTGGGGATTAATAAAGTTCTTATCTTATCTTAAATCTGCCCAATTTTAGCCCGTTTGAGACTAATCGGTAATCGGCAAAAACTCGCCGATTGTCGCCGATATTTTCAGAAATAAAATGCTGAGAATAAGATTCAGTTTCACTTTGAAAATGTTCCTCCATTTGAAAAGTTCCCTGACTTATCCTGTAGATGGCGCTACAGCGACCTCATGCCGATCTTCATCCACTAACTACCTCACAGCACATGTTCCTCGCTGTGCTGGTCTCGGTCATGCCCAGTTAACGCTGAAGCACCATGGGATATGAAACTAACGTTAGAGTTAGCCACCTGCTGTTAGCCTTGCTACACTGTTAGCCGTGTCAGTAACGGTAGAATAAACAACAGTACACATTAGTGATCGAGATACTTCTCTGACTGAGGCAGCTGCATGTCTCCAGATGAGACCGGACCGGACATGAGGAACGGGAGTTAAGACGCAGAAGCACCGATCGGCGGGCGGGGGGCCTGCTCTTTGGCGTGAAGAGCAGTAGCCTACAGAATATAAAGTGTTCCTCATTCTTTATGATGTACGTGAGTTAGCTTTATTTATATTTATTTATATAGAGTATTAATTTTAGAAGATCAACATTAACGATGGGGGACGCTTCGGGATCGAACCATCAGGTCCAGCAGGTACTTCTTTCCAAGACTGTTTTTTCACGGATTAAAAAGGTTCAATTTCAGACAAAAACCAGGAGTCCTTGAATATCACTCTGTACACTGACGCAGAGTCTCTTCTTTGAGACGAAACATTATCCTTTCACCACACGAACTACATCCTGACAAAGAGTCCCGAGTCCAGCCCTAAAGTGTCTGGTTCTAATGTTCTGAGTCGTCTGTGGACTCCCGAAGAGACATGCCGGTGCAGTTGTTGAGGTTTCAGCAGCAGCAGCAGCTTCTCCGTGTGCTGACAGCCGAACACCTGACAGACTGTCTGAGAGAGCAGAGGGGGAAATCTCTGAGGGGACACTGAGAGATACCGACCCCCACACACTCTACAGCAGCTTCATTCAAGTCTGCTAATGTCACACATGAACTCTGTGTCTAACCAGTCAGGACTGAGAGACTCTCCAGATAACCTGAGTCTGGTGTCAGTCTGAGACTTTCACAGGAGGCTCATGATAGAATAATAATGATCCGGACCCTCCTCAGACTAGTCTACCATCAGTGGACCCTGTCTGGGTCATTATCAGTCTGACTGTACTGGAGCAGAGACCAGAGACCGGTTAATTTCAGATGGTTTATGAAGTAGGTTATTATAAATGCTGAGAGTCTAAAAGGAAACACAGAGAGAGGTCTGACCTCAGGTTTAAGCCGACTCACATGGGATTAGTACAACCCTCCAGTCAGAGTTAATAACTGGGGAGGAAGTCTGTGTTTTTAATCCTGTACAAATTAACCATGCCTGTAATTCTTGAAGTCAAAGGGCGCAGAGGTCCTCTGGTCAGATTCATCAGGCCTGTTTTATAAGGAGGGTCACCAGAGAACTCCCACAGGGCTCCTCGGTTCCTCCCTCTCTCCTACAGCCCAGTGTCATGGCTCTTTGCTCTGGACAGATGCTCTGGCAGACACACGCCATTAAACCTCTTTCTCCTGTATCACCGAGGACGGTGGGATGAAGGTCAGAGAAGAACGGAGGCGTCACGACGGAAGAGAAGAGACGGATTCAAGGGAAGTTTGTGTCAAAGTGGAGAAAATATGAGTGATCTAAAATAATCCTGATTAGTCCTGAGATTCACGAACTGCACACGTTCATCGATGAATAAATGAACGAGTTATTCTCTTAATTAGAGACGCTGAGAAGAAGACAGGTGGACGCTCTACTCTTTAAAACTGAGGATGCAGCATCTATGGTTTCTAATTCTTCGTTTAAAGGACAAGTGGACTTTATTGAGTTGTCCTTTCTATGTGGTGATTTCCACTTCAGAGTCCAGCCTGTCTTGCTGAAATGTGAACGTCTGTTCAAAGACAGTCGTTTCTGAAGGGGATTTATAGCTCATGCAGTGATTTCCACTACAGAGTCATGTCTGTTTTTAGTGCATGTTTCCTTTGTGCAACTAAAATTAGATGAGTGTGAATTGTAAAATGTATTTAAGGTCACATGTGCGCATTAAAAAATACCCACACATATTTTTTTTCCTGTAAATACAGCGGTGAAGTTAGTTTAAGGTTGGATATATTCTCCTGTAAATACGGCGGTGAAGTTAGTTTAAGGTTGGATATATTCTCCTGTAAATATGGCGGTGAAGTTAGTTTTAGGTTGGATATATTTTCCTGTAAATACGGCGGTGAAGTTAGTTTCAGGTTGGATATATTTTCCTGTAAATACGGCGGTGAAGTTAGTTTTAGGTTGGATATATTTTCCTGTAAATACGGCGGTGAAGTTAGTTTTAGGTTGGATATATTCTCCTGTAAATACGGCGGTGAAGTTAGTTTTAGGTTGGATATATTTTCCTGTAAATACGGCGGTGAAGTTAGTTTTAGGTTGGATATATTTCCCTGTAAATACGGCGGTGAAGTTAGTTTCAGGTTGGATATATTTTCCTGTAAATACGGCGGTGAAGTTAGTTTTAGGTTGGATATATTTTCCTGTAAATACGGCGGTGAAGTGAGTTTTAGGTTGGATATATTTTCCTGTAAATACGGCGGTGAAGTTAGTTTCAGGTTGGATATATTTTCCTGTAAATACGGTGGTGAAGTTAGTTTCAGGTTGGATATATTTTCCTGTAAATACGACGGTGAAGTTAGTTTTAGGTTGGATATATTTTCCTGTAAATACGGCGGTGAAGTTAGTTTTAGGTTGGATATATTTTCCTGTAAATACGGCGGTGAAGTTAGTTTTAGGTTGGATATATTTTCCTGTAAATACAGCGGTGAAGTTAGTTTCATGTTGGATATATTTTCCTGTAAATACGGCGGTGAAGTTAGTTTCAGGTTGGATATATTTTCCTGTAAATACGGCGGTGAAGTTAGTTTCAGGTTGGATATATTTTCCTGTAAATACGGCGGTGAAGTTAGTTTCAGGTTGGATATATTTTCCTGTAAATACGGCGGTGAAGTTAGTTTTAGGTTGGATATCTGACGGACATTCTCTGAGGATCTACCGGTGTCTTCTCACTCTCCATAACCGGGAATAACAACAGCAGCGCGGTTAAATCTACTCGACACCCTCACTGTCAAAGTCGGTGTTGAATAAGGGACCGTCAATAAATTACCGGTTGATGTTCTCAGAAAAGGCTGTTTTCCTTCAATAGCTTCACTGTCATGTGACCAAAAGACCTGAAATTGATTTCTAATAATAGTACTAAGGTTGATCAATAAGACAAACATTATTTGATCAATTTTCATTGTTCCCCTAAAGTCCTTTGTGCTCCTTGTGAAAAAAGTCAGTGTCAAGCTCTGCAACATTACACAACTTTTCAGTGTTTTCTGGACCCTCCTCCTGTTTCAACAGTTGATATTTAATCTTTGTACTATTAATAAAAGATTTTAAAACCGTCAAACACGTTAGAAACATTTTAACACATCACAGAGTCGAGGTTTTACCATAACCGCAGTATCAGTCTGGTTGGTTTAAATAATAAGAATATTATTATTATTGGTTGGTTTTCTGCCTCACATAATTCCTCATAAATATACAAACAGCCCGTCTCCTCTTCTTTCAGGTGTTTTAATTAGTCACGCTGACTTTGTGTTCTCTGGTTGTCTTGTTTTTGTGTATTAGCAGGACCGTTGTCGGATATCTGGGGTCTTTTGTTCCTTTTATTAGCCTCCGATGTGTCTGTTGTGTCATCTGGATTGTTTTTTTTTCTCTTTATTCTTTTCTTTTGAGATTTAAAACTCCAAATGAAGTCGTTTCTTTTGTTCTCCTACATTTTCCATATTTTTCTGTCACGCTTGCTTTTTATCGTTTCTCTGCACTTATAAATAACTGCAGATTATACAAACGCTGAAAAACAAGTGACACATTCCCATTTTTAATTTGTTTGATCTTCCACTGGTGGCAGACAGAAATCCTGCCCAGAATCCTTCGACTCCTGCCAGTTTATTTTGCATATTTATGGATAAGACTCCAGCTTCCTCTAACGGCTGAAAAACTGCAGTTTGGATAGAAATGTGTACTTTGGATGTTGGAAGTCTTGGATGTGGGAGTGAGCGGCCCTGCTCTGGTTCTTGCTAATATGTTGTCTTCTAACTCTCCCTTTGTGCCGGCTGCCAAACTGCACTGTTGCATCTTTGAAAAGACCAAAGCGTTTGGAGGACGGCCAAATCTGAGGCTGGCATCACAGTTTAAAGTGAGCAAAATGAAGGATAACGAAACCCCAACGGCAAGTTAAGTGTTTGGGAAGTCTGATCAAACATGGGAGAATCTCAACATTTGATTAATATCTTTTACTTCTTCTTCAAAACAAATGGACTTATACTTTACAGAGAAATGATGAAACGAAGCTGAAAATCCCTGAGAGGTTAAAAAACGATGAACTGATGCAGGAGGAAATAAAATCGTGTTCTTCTTTAAAAAACTCACATATAAAGACATTTAACGGAGAGCAGGGAAAGGATCCAAATGCACATGAGTTACTCTAATTTCTTATCCCTGACGTGTTTTTCTTTCACAGAGAAATGTTTGCAGTCTGCATATTTTACACCTGCGTCTACACATCGGTCCCATTAGTCACCACCTGCAGAGATCAGCTAACAGTCTTTGACAGCTCTTAAACGCTCTTAATTCTGGAAGGCAACGGCACATTAAGATGGTTGATGATAACCTACTTTTCTCCTCCAAACGAAGCCGCGTTTACAGCGTGACTGAAGTTACTACCTCATGTAGGAAGTCACTCCTACTCTCCTATAAATCAGAGCGATAAAAGATGTCAGAGATAGATACGATATGATACGTGACAGAATGAGATATATAACGCTACATGATACACTATGATAGAAAACCTTCTGATAACATTATACCTATAACTATCGTATACCCAATGATTTCTTACAGTGCTATACAATGTGGTCATACATGCTTCAGTTCACAAGTGATGGGACAGAATTTGATATCAAACACTTACACTCAGCTGCCTTCACTCATTAAGAAGTGAAACAATCAAAGTGACACAAACAGAATAAGAACTACAACATCAGCACAATCATAATTACTATCATTATTATTTTAAAACTCATGATTATTATTTTTAGCATAAGTTTATTTAATTTTTAGCATAATTAGTTTTATTTTTCATTATTTTTAATGATTATTATTTTTAGCACATTATTATTTCATTTTGTATTAAGCACAATTATTATATTTCATATTATTACTATAATTATTATCATTATTATTGTAATATTTTAGCACAATTATTATTATTATATCATTGTTGTTGTTGTTGTTGTTACCGTATTATAATTGTTATATTTTCAGCACAATCACTATTATTTTTAATGGTTATTATTACTATTATTTTTATTTAATATTTTTATTTTTATGTATTTTTTTCCACATTTTTTAAACATTTATTTTACTTTATTTTTCATTTTTGTTTCTTTGTTTTTGGACTGTTATTGATGAGTTTCTTCTTTTTTTTCTATATTGCCTTTACTTCCTGTCATACTTCATGTATACCTAAACCCCCAACATTATAGTGAAGAAGAGGTTGGAAATGCAAACAAAAACACATGAAAAACTGAGAATTTTCATTTCTTAGGGGGAGGCATTTACCTGTCGCATCCATCCACTAAAAAGCCATTAACTTCACAGCAGACCGCCGAGCTTGGTTAATGAATGAATCACATGATTGCAGTCGACTGACAGTTTTGGATTTGGTCCCTGAGAACATTTCTTTTCAAAGCTCAAATTAAAAATGACCAGAATTAAATCATTATCAACTTAACAAAGGCTTTTCCTGATTGTAGCCATTTCCTAAATTACCTTAATTTTTTCCGCAGCACTTAACTTCCCTTTAAAGAACACTTTGATGAAAAATAAGCGCTCCTCCGGCGAGTTTGTGACACGAGTTCACAGCAGCTGTCCAGAGGGACGGCTGAAAGATGCAGAGTACAGCACAGTGATAGTTTATTAGGCAGTCTGCCATGTTGGTCCCCTGCACTTCCTCTTAAAAAGAAGAAGACGGGGTGAGGAGGTTTTATTAACTTGGCGTGGTCCCCTGAGGGAAAAAGAGCGGCTTGGCTCCCCTTCACTCCCTCTCCAACTCCCTCTGTACAATATTCCTCTGCAGGAATATTACCAGGCCCCGGGTTAGCTTTGCTTTAATATATTTAAATACAATTAATTAAGAAATGCCCCTCCGACATAAGCATAATATGAGCTGACATAATGAAGATCTTTGAAGTAGATTTTGATACCGAGCCCCTCTTCCAGACGGCGCCTCCAGATGAGGTAATCTAACGGGGCCTGGGGGCGCTCCTCACACCGGCTGATGGGCGCTTTAGTGCTGCATATTCCCATATTCCCAAGCAAAGACCACTTAATCAAATTACCATAGACTAATTGCCACACAGTGAACCTGGGGATTTTCAGGGGCTCATGGGGGTCTGCTGGGGCCAGAAGGGAGAGGTAACGAAGATTCATGTGAAACCGTTATGAATACTATGATGTCGTATGTATGATGACATCTAGGGCTGGGCGATATGGGAATGAGTTTATCACGATACATTTTTTCATATCAGTCGATATTGATATATATCATAAGAAAATTGTTGACGATGTGGTCATCTGTTGAGTTTCTGTCGGGGGTAGCACTCATTTTCTTTGTTTCTCACCAACAGTGCTGTCGGCTTCACCTGTTAAAGTGCTATGGTTGGGTGTAGCTGCTGTCTGCTACGACTTTGCAGTTGTTTGATACTTGGGTCTAATTCAGCACGATTGGTTCAACGTGAAGCGGACCAGGAGCAACTCCCCTTTTCATTGGCTATTCCTATAGTCTACTAAAACATGGCAGCATATCTGTTAGAAAGTCAGTGTTAGATTTTCAAGTAAATACCACTGTTATATTGTGTTTTATGGTGAGTTTTCATTTGTCCTACGCTCATAAACGCACCATAGGCGTTCTGATGTGATTTATCGCACTGCACCTGTGTCTGAGAAGCTGAAGCTGCGAAAGTTTAATTTTCCTCCTCATGCAACAGAGGACAGTTCGTAAATTTCCTCTTCCCTGTTTTTATCAAACATTCACCTTCACACACACCATACACCTGACCGCTCTATACCAGCTAAATCTTGGAGAACAAACTTTTCTCCTTTTTAATGCCGACTATTGAAAAAGCATATCGACCATGTTTTATACTGATGTTGAGGGAAATTAATTTTTGATATATATGTCATTATCATTTTATTGCCCAGCACTACATATGTATGAAGACACCTAAACCTGATCCGTTCTGTACCCTCAAGGTCTTTGTTGATGCTCCCCCTGCCTCCGACTGGGACCTCTCAGAACAGGGCCCATCAGAACTCACTGCATGTAAATATGGTCAGGAACGGTCCTGATTGAACTGCTGATGAATGAATGAATATTGAGTCGTGTGTATGTGTGTATTTGGAGAGGAAATCTATCAGTGCAGTGTGTGTGTGTATGTATGTGTGTGAATGAGCACAGCCTCAGGTCACAACAGTACACCTCGGAGCTTTGCACGGTTACAGCGTACCCCCCCATCATTAACCCGAGGACATGCATGTTTTTTTCTTCGTTTACAGATGTTAAATCCATCACATGAACCAGTCTACCACGTACCTCTCATTTTTTAATAATCACACCGTATAAAGAGAAAACTACTGAGAGCCGACATGCAACACGAGGCTGCTTTTGATGTTGTTGGTTTGCACCATCTGGAATACTGATGAAACAGCGTTCTCTAAATAGGTCATCTTAAAAGTCACAATCACCAACAATGCACATTTGTCAGCAGATACACGTTCACCCTGAAAACATGGTTTAAAATAGAAGTGAGGAGGCTCAGCTGTGCAGGAATCCCAAGGCTGCAGCTCGAACCCCCGTCACCATCTCATTCCACCTGAAGGCTTTCTATCACACAGGAAACTACTGCCTTTGTTAGGAGCGCTGGTCACTTTTACTACCAAACTTTACTCATGTTTACTCTCCCCCAAGTCCGATTCAGATATTTACATACATGAGATAGAGATAAAGTTGTTTTTTGGGCCTTCAGGCAGCACTGCACTCAAAGCGGACATTAACTCTGTAGTAGAAGTCACCACATGAGCTCAAACTCTCATGAATAAATGACTGCGTGACTCAGTCTGGATCTGCACTTGTGGAAACGTTGATAAACTGAGTTCATAAACGGATGTTTTCAGGCTGTTTCAACATTAATCTGGTTTGACTGATAAGGAAAGTTCAGTTTTATATTCACATAGTTCTGAGGGTTCCAACTTTCTGTGGAATAGACTGAGCTAAGGTCGCACTCTTACCATCAGAGTAGGGCTGGACGATAAAACGACAGCAATACATATCACTAACTGATTTCCCTCAATATCAATATAAAATATAGTCAACATGCTTTTGATAGTGAGCATTCTGACATGTTTTGGTAGACTATACAAATAAACAATGAAAAGGGGAGTTTCTCCGGGTCTGAACCAATCATGTTCTGAATTAGAACCAAGTATCAAACAACTGCATCACAGCAGACAGCAGCTCCATCCAACCATAGCACTTTAACAGGTGAAGCCGACAGCACTGTTGGTGAGAAACAAAGAAAATGAGTGCTACCCCCGACAGAAATGACCATGAAGGCTCAACAGATGACCACATCAATGTCAACCACAACACCGGCGTTAGGAAAACGTCGGTGGTGTGGAGGTATTTTGGTTTTTGGAGGTCGGACATGAAGCAGAGTAATGTGGACTGTAAATTATGTCGAGTATATGTTCTCACAAAGTCGGGGAATACCTCAAATCTTTTTCACCACCTGAAGCAGCGCCACGCCGCAGAGCACGCGCAACGCAGAAGGTTACAAACCCCGAGAGGAGCGAGGAGCCCATGGCGCCTGAAACAGACGACCATTCAGTCGGCTTTCTCTAGAGCGACGCCTTACGACAAAACGCCAAAGAGACACAAAGACCTCACAGATGCAGGAGATTATTGTGTTGGAAAAGAAATGAGACCAATAAACACTTCTACATTTCATTTTTATATCCTGATATTGATCGATATCAGCTGATATGAAAACAATATATAGTGATAAACTTTTTCCCATATCGCCCAGCCCTAAGTCAGAGCTTACACTGCCCCCCATCATCTAAATAACATATTACATATAAAGTGTTTACTGTTGCTAACTCTTCCCATTCACATGCATCCAAACCTGCGAGCTGCTTTTCCAGGTTTCATACCCGAGACTTCACCCCCAACTCTGACACCCACAGACCTGCAGCCGCCCCAAATATCTCTCTATATTATATATGACTGCAGACTTGCTGATTGTGCCCATACAAAGCTGAAATGAAACCTCCCTGCCTCACAAACCATTTCTGCCGCCAACTGCTCTCAGTGTGACTTCAGGATGCCTCCGACAAAGCAGTGAACTATGTCAGATGATAATGCCTCTCCTGGTATCTACCTGCTGCTGCCAGGCTCATGAACATAAGTGGGGGAAATGTAAGGTCTGCTGTCAAACTGTGTAAAAGAGAAAGAGAGCACTTGACAAAAAGGCCTTCACACACTGAGAGGTGCACGGTTCCCTATATCTGTGTACTTTTATTGGGAAAGTGTTGGAGCATAAGCCGTCCAGCTGCTGCACAAACAACTGCTCCAAGATTGGAGAGAGAGGGAAACGTTTGGACGAGTTATGTAACGGTCTGTGGTAAAGAAATGTGATAGAAGGATATAAAGCCAGTCCTCCACAAGCCAACCACAACAACTCCAGGCTTCAGAACACACAATACCTACACTGTCAGTAAAGGAAAACTACAACTGCGTCACATCAGACAGCAGCTACACCCAACCATAGCACTTTAACAGGTGAAGCCGACAGCACTGTTGGTGAGAAACAAAGAAAATGAGTGCTACCCCCGACAGAAATGACCATGAAGGATCACCAGATGACCACATCAATGTCAACGACAACACTGGCGTTAGGAAAACGTCGGTGGTGTGGAGGTATTTTGCAGAGTAGCAGAGTAATGTGGACTGTAAATTATGTCGAGTACATGTTCTCACAAAGTTGGGGAATACCTCAAATCTTTTTGAGGAGCCCATGGTGCCTGTGCAGCCGAAACAGTCGACCATTCAGTCCACTTTCTCTAGAGCAACGCCTTATGACAAAATGCCACAGAGTCACAAAGACCTCACAGATGCTGTAGCTCATTCTATTGCAAAAGATGTGCTACCAATAAACACTGTTAAATTTCATTTTTTATATCGTGATATAAAAAATCGATATCGACTGATATGAATAAAATACCCTAACTCTGAGTGATAGTCGTAATATTGTGAAGATTTGTGAGTCTCTTCTAAAAACTGTACATGTTGTTGATTCCTTGATGTGTCCATAGTACTTCAGGTCTATGTTTAGGCTGCCTCATGAAAGCCTGGAGAGCACAATTAAAGAGTCTCACTCCTAAAGAAGTTAGCAGTACTCACCAAATGGTTGGCGCCAATGTCGCCAATGTTAATTCGCTGGAAGAAACAATTCTGAGAAATGCCTCTAGGTTGGCATCGAGCTCCGACCTCCAGTCCTGAGAAATGAGACCAATACTGCAAAATACTGCAGTTCATGGAAAGCCTGACTGAGGCGGGAGCAGAAAAAAAAACACTGAGACGAAAAAACATTTAAAACAAATTTAGAGCAAAAATAAACATTTTTACAGGCTTGTTCAAAAAGTGGATTTAGCTCAGGGTCAGATATATTAATTTATTTATAATGTTTTAACCAAAATAATGAGGTTTAATAATTTCATTTAATATTTTCTGTAAAGGTCTAAGTAAACTTTTTTATAATTATCTGTTAACTTTGTTAATGATGATTTTACTATTGTTCTCTGTTTGCTGCTGTAACTCTGCAGATTTCCCAGCCATGGGGGATTTTTATTAACAATATTTTTGTTATAATATCTTTTTTTATGGTTTGATTAAGTATGAATTTAAACCGACAAACTGGAGGATATGATGAGGTCAAGGTTTTGAGGATGCGTTCAGACGCCTCGGGTGTAAAGGTCACTTTCACACTCAGTCAGACACTTCGGTGACCCAGCCGTTCCCCTGACCTCCTTCCTAAGAACTTCTGCAGTCACGCTACGTCTGCCTTTGCTTATGGGTGACAGCCATTCTTAGCCAGGGCTTGTCATGAGAATTTAAAAATAGACTACATTAAACGCAAGTGAGTGAACAAAGGACGGAGGCTGCTGAGACGTGGACCGCACTGTGTAACAGCGAGTTCCTAAATAATATAACAGCAGAAGGAATAAGGATAATAATAATAACGATGATGATGATGATTTAACGAGGTGAAGGAAGTTTGACACGAGTTACATCACTGAGAATATTTTCATATAAACTGAATTTATGACGGCACATGTACAAGAGTCACAAACTCAATCAGCTCCAGTCATCTCATCCTAACTGATAATATATTCTGACTTATAATAAAATCTGTTTATTTCTGACCCTCATAGATATATATATATATATTCATATAAAGATACTGTATATCCACAGCAGGGACAGACTGAGAGCCTCATCAGTACCAGCTCACAGGCTCAGATCAGGGCCTTTCATAGAGAGCTTTAGCTTCAGTTCAGAGGGTCTCTTTCTCTTTATTTCCAGTGATAGGCCATCGTTCTTATGTAACACCCCTGTGACATTTTCACACTCCATAGAAACGTCTTTAAATAAAGCTCTGAAATAGACTCTTAAGGCGCTGCGGCCCTTAAGAGAAGCTGTGTCGATAATATCAACTGTAATTGCCGGTGGACTCCGATTTCTCCAACATCTGTCTACGCCTGAATTCCCTCATGGCCAACATTATTGATCACGCTCCCTGTCACTGCATCACATTACCATCTGTCTATACATTTACCATCAGGCTTTGTGCGCTAAGGTCAATGCAAACGTGAGGGAATAAAACTCCACCGTTTCATCGGCGTTTGTTTGAAACAGGAGAATAAAGAGGCAATTTATCATCCGATGATACATCTGTTATCGTGGTTTAATACATTCATAACTGCAGAGAGACTGTATGTGCAAGGTAGGTAGGACTGCATGATAGTGGAAAAAGAGAGTAGAGGAAGAGCAAATTGGTTTATATTGTATAAGTTCATTTCTGAGGTTGAAACTGATTTTAAGACTTTAAAAGTAGAGACACTACGGAATTGTTAGATTTCACAAAAAAGTCGGTTTGTCCATCCAATCAGGTGATTCCAGATAGATGCATAAATCCTGGACTGAGAGGAAGTGGTGACCGCGAGATGTGACCGTCATTTGTGGTGTGACGTGACCATCGTGCACGCATATGTCGTAACTGCCTCACAAGCTAGCAAGCTTCTTCGTCTGCTTGGTCATCTTTCCAGCATTTCAAAGCGGGTGGTAAAAAGCGTCAAGAACCACAACCATCCACCAGTATGATCCAGAAAGTTTGATGTTGTCAGTATTTCTTATTCTTTCAGACAGTTATGATGGATGCGGGTCGAGTACGGCGGCCTCAACACGCTCAGGTACATCTGTAATTATTGTGCGTATTTCCACACGGATGTAAATGTTGACCTCTCCTCAGGACACGGTAACGAATCAGGACGCGCTATATATCGCAGATAAAACCACACACTCGCTCTACTGCACCCACATCTGAAAAAAGGAGGAAACTTAAGACCGGTCTGGATCTGTCTGAGCAGGGAAAAGTCGGTCGAACACGTTGAGATTGTTTCCTAGATGTGCTCAGAGGCACTCAAAGAAAGGACAAAAACGACTAAAAGCAGCACTCCTGCCTCCTCTCTGCAGCCCTCCTCTCCCCCGTGCCTCTTCCCTCGCCACGTTCATCCTCCCCCTGCTGTCAGGATGAGTGTCGGGCTCTCTGCTCTCCCAGATGTTCGCTGGCAGGAGGAGGCTGAATGTCTGTCATCAGTCAGGACAAGTGACAGCCACGTCGGCGGCCTGTCACAGCTGCCGTTGCTCAGGTCACTGAAGGTGTCGCCATCAAGCAATGATGCCGAGGCGAACGTCGCAGCAACCTCGCAGACAATAAAAGGGGGACAAGAGGAGGTTCTGGTTTTTACAGTGAACCAGGAGGGAGGACTGGGACTGCATAGACTTCTCACTTTAGGACCCAGAAGACCTTTTTCTAGGGTCAGACTCAATGTAACTGAACACAAATTATCAAATCAGACGTGTTTTCGTGAGTTAAACCACGCGTGGACAACTCTGAGGCAACTTCCACAGCATACAGCAGCTTCAAGTCATCCTCAATGCCATCCATGCACATCTATAACATCTATTTCTGTGTTTCCCCTTAAAATAAGTCCAAACTCATGTGGACAGCACCTCACACACACACACACACACACAGATCTGCCGTACAGTAAACCACCAAACCTGAGGGTCCGGTCCTGCAGGGCTTTGAGGAAGCCGTTCTCCCAAACAGGGTTACATCATCATCATCATCATCATCAGGAGGAGGAAAATGTCATGACCCAAATTTGACTGCAAATGAATCATGAACGATTTAGCAGAGAGGATCTGAAGATCGTGTGCATCTTCAAATGTTCTCGGCGTATCCCACAGTGACCTCCCCGTAAACCCAGAGACACACTTCCTGTTTTTTTCTTTGTTTTCGACTTGAATAAAGTCAGTCAGCGGCAATAACTGCAAAAACACAAACAAGCAGTGTGATGTAAAAAATACAGAATGAGCAGTCAGACGAGAGACTGAAGAAAATCTGCTCTAGTTAAAGCTTTTTTATTATTACTCCAGCTGTGTTAGATACTTGATTCTGATTGGTCAAAATCCAACAACTCTGGTTATTGATTGTCAGTAGTGTTGGGCGGTATGACAGTATTTACAGCCACATAGACATATAAGCAGTAGATTGTGTCCTTCCAGAGGAGGAAATCTACTTCTAGACTTCTAGAATCAGCATCTCCTCATCCATGGTGTCATCGGGGTGAAATGACGTCTAAAAACCTTTCACTTGTTCGTCTCCGCCCGTTTGCATGGTGTGAAATACGATCCTCCTGAAACACGGAGTGTTTTATTTTGAAAAGAAGCCGGATGTTTTATTTTGTGTCTGTGCCCGACTTCCTTTCCAGCACGGGTTAATCTGTGCTGAATTTATCCGCCATGCTCCGGCGTCCTGAAAAAATAGAACTCTTGTGATCCGCAGAGGAACGGAAAGAAGTCGGTGTAAATTGACACGTTAACTTGAATGTTTACGATCAGCTACGATCGGAGGATACGACCTTTTAGGAGACATTCTGGATGCGAAATTGGGGGTTAGCGTCCAGTTGTTCTCTTGAGTCCATACCAGTTCACCTCAGTTTCATCAAAGTTCATAAAAACAGATGAATTGAATATTAAATACCGAGTTTGTCGGTCAGGGTCAGGTCTGCAGGATCACAGGATCAAACCCACTCTCTCCTAAACCCACACTGTTGCTCTGTCAGGACGCCGGGATCATGATTGTGGTTCTGAAAAGTTGACATGACTTTCTGTATTTGTCTGAGAACAGGCAGCTGCACTCTGAATGTCGACACTTCCTCCACAAATACGATGATACAGTAGCGTGGATTTGCGGCGTATAATAGCACAGTGGGGGCGTTGAAATATGAAATTGCTTGCTCTAATTGCTGCCACTTTGGAACTTAAGCTGAGCAAAAGCAATTTTTACTGAGAGATTTATGTCGAGGAGGATCCACTACAACAGAGAGAAGTGACCGGACGAGCTGCAGCAGCTCATTCCAGAGGAGCTCAGATGATGACATGACTCAGAGTCTCTGGAAACTCAAGCAGCATCTTACTGTCATGGAGGTGGATGAGAGAGAACAGTAACAGGGGATTTCAGGACGGCATCATCATCTTTGCATTGAGGAATAATGTGACGAAGAGGAAGTTCAGCAGAGTAGAAATAAAGGAAAGGAAGAATTAATCTCCTGTACTCTGGTCCTGTTCCTGAAAAGTAAACTTTTGGACCCCGCTTCACCGTCTTTGTTCAGATATTATTTTATCTACAGTCTAAAAAAGGAAATATAACGAGGTCTTCGCCTTGCTCCGGGTTGCAGAGGCTGCAGATAAAAACTCTGGCGGTTCCTCCTTGTTGTGTTTATTTTTGCTCCCTGCGGACTGAGCACAGGCATGTCCAAAGGTGTGTTTGTATTCCCTGAAGACAATAAAAGGAGAACTGTACGGATCACTGCACCAAGGTTGTGGTTAGGAGTCAAAGGCAAGTGAACAAGGTCAACTCTGACTTTCTTTGACTTCTTACTGCTGCCTGAAAATCCCAACACTCTCCAGGGCCGAGAAAGAAAACGACTTTAGGAGGTTCGATTTGGACTGAGATCTGATGTTACGTCTAAATGACAAGAAATCCTAAAATTGATCTTATATAACACAACACACTTTCCTGTAGGAAGTAACCGGCCTTTACAGATCTGTGCTTTGTAACATTAGCATGAAGAGAAGTGGAGCTGCACCTCTGAACGCACCGCTAAATTCTGCGCTGTTCCTCACACAGACTATATCTGCAAAAACGCACCTGAAGGACGCATTTACGTTAAAGCTGTCCAAACATGAACAGAACCAACCTAAAACTAACTTCACTGCGTATTTACAGGAAAATATATCCAACCTAAAACTAACTTCACCGCCGTGTTTACAGGAAAATATATCCAACCTGAAACTAACTTCACCGCCGTATTTACAGGAAAATATATCCAACCTAAAACTAACTTCACTGCGTATTTACAGGAAAATATATCCAACCTAAAACTAACTTCACCGCCGTATTTACAGGAAAATATATCCAACCTAAAACTAACTTCACCGCCGTATTTACAGGAAAATATATCCAACCTAAAACTAACTTCACCGCCGTATTTACAGGAAAATATATCCAACCTGAAACTAACTTCACCGCTGTATTTACAGGAAAATATATCCAACCTAAAACTAACTTCACCGCCGTATTTACAGGAAAATATATCCAACCTAAAACTAACTTCACCGCCGTATTTACAGGAAAATATATCCAACCTGAAACTAACTTCACCGCCGTATTTACAGGAAAATATATCCAACCTAAAACTAACTTCACCGCTGTATTTACAGGAAAATATATCCAACCTGAAACTAACTTCACCGCTGTATTTACAGGAAAAAAAACATTTGTTGATTTTTTTTTATGCGCACATGTGACCCTAAATACATTTTACAATTCACACACATCTATTTTTAGTCTTAAATGCAAGTGAAACGGTCACACTGTCGAGCCCTGGAAACTGTTTCGTGCTCAACAATCGCTCTTTTGTCGTCACTCAGTTACTCACAAAATACAAAAATATGTACTTTACTGAGTGAGAATAACAAGGACAGTCTGAATTAAAGATGCAAATGACAGATTTGTTCACACTGTACTTATCAAGGTACCATCATAATAAAAAACAGACATTAATTTTGAAATATGTGTTACTAATGTGGTTATTATTGAAGCTTGAATGAATCAGACATGAACAATAATTAAGGCCGATAAAGTCAAACATGAACATTAATCGTTGATGTAAACAGGTTTGATCGTAGTGAGATGATTTTTGATTATATCGCCCAGCTCTAAGTGACTGTAGGTCATATCTCCGTTGGTTTTAATCTTATTTTAATTTTTTTTAAATTTAACATATTGTATAATGTTCTGTATTGTGTTTTATCTATACTGTAAGGTGACCTTGAGTGTCTTGAAAGGCGCCACAACAAATAAAATGTATTATTATTATTATTATGACCAGAATGGCACAATTATGGACTAGAAATTAGATAATTTACATATATTTTAGACTGAGTGTAAAACCGTCAGTCTGGTGAGTCTGGTCCACAGATTGTTCTCTTGTCTCTGTAACTGAAACATCTCTGATTGAACAGGGATGAAATTAACTCAAAGTACTGGATGACAATAAATGAGTGGATGTTATATAACCAGCGCTGTTATATAATACATGATCTTTAAAAATAGTTGGTACTACTTTCAAATCATGGGCCGCCCACCTGCTCAGAGTTAAAGAGAGATTTATGATTAAAGTCAAACAGAACAAACACATGCCAACATGTCAAAGTGCAGTCTATCCCAATTACTGCAGAGGATGGAGTCTGACTCCGGAGCTGAGACAGTTTATTAAAAAGTACAGGACAAACAAACCCAACCTGAGTGGGCACCAAAGAAAAGAGAGCAGAGAGGGAGAGCTTTGAGAGTCGACCACAGAGTGAACTCTGCTACAAATGAGGAACTATTGTGTGCTTTTTTCCACAATGTGTTCATGAATTTCCACAATGCTTTTTTTATTGCTGCTCTAGGGTTCACTGGCTCATGAAACTTTCTAAGCACACAAAAGACCGAAGAACCTTTCAATCCCAGAAAGAAAGAAAGACAGAGGGGGTAAAAATCAGCGCTGAAATGTTTTCCCAAGACGACAGGAGAAAGCAAATGAGAGATCTGAAAGCTAAGCCAGCGGTGTCAACACTAAAAACTGTCCATACTAATGACTTCCCACAGGGAGTCTCCACTTTATTCCTTCTCCGTTGTCAGCACAGTCACCCATTCAACTGCAGGAGAGCCGTCTCACTTCCACTCCCGAGGAACGCTCGGCATCGCATTTCCATCCTGATTTGCAGCCGATGTATAAACCCGTCCTTGTCTTCTATTTAAATGTAAAACATGGAGCTATTCAGAGCATGCATGGAGCTGCTGCAGAGACACTAATCAGGAACAATGTACCTGCGGGGGAGCGCTGACACCCTGTTTAAAACAATCCGATTATATTGATGTGTTTATTTATCCAATGTGCTCAGGGTCATCATCGCTCATGCTTGTCATCCTGCACCTCCAGCGCGCTCCGTCTTCACTCCAATCTTCTCCTCTTTTGTTTAGGACCACACCTTCTCCGTTTGTTAGCAGCCTGTTCATCTCCCTCACTGTCCCGGCCTTCATCGCTCATGCACTCCTTCTCTTCTCGCTGACGTCCCTCCTCGTCTTCGCCCACCCCTCCTTTCCGTTCAGATCACTCGGCTCCATATCAGCCTCCTCCTCCTCCCTTTGGATCACCTCCTTCTTTCCTCTCCTCTCTTCCTCTCCATCATTTCATCCTCCCTTTCCCTGAGACGTGCTGATGGTGGGCTCTGCACCCCCCACCCCCCCTCTGTCAAACTTGTGATAAACGTCTTCTCCTCCCACTGATACACGGCTAATACCTCCAAAAAGTCAAATACATCACGTTAACCATCATGGCGAGTGTGTGTGTGTGTGTGTGTGTGTGTGTGTGAAGGACTGATGTCAGGTAGAGTCTGCTGTCTCAGCAGACTGACATCTGGGTAATGAAGTCCTGATGATCCTTCTGGAGTGAGTGTCGCTCTGCTGAGAATAGATGCACGCCGCCATAACTTAACGCAGCGATTCCAGCGAGCAGCGGTGGCGGCGGGCGGACTGATGGCCCCCAGGCTTGTTGAGACTGTAACTGCCACTTCTGGTTAACGACGAATCAGAGACGGGACTCAGACGCTGGTTAACCCACTTTCTAACTCCACACACTGCCTGGATGATCATATCATCGCTGAGTAATGTGTGACGGCAGAAACGACCATGATCTGTTTCATGACGACACGTTAACGCCAACGACGCAGACTTCAACGCTCAGCTGGATCAGTGACCAACAGCTCTTATGAGCGGACTAACCCCCAATTTCCACCTTCATCCTGATCGTCTCCTAAAAGGTCGTATCCTCCGATCGTAGCTGATCGTAACCATTCAAGTTAACGTGTCAATTTACACCGACTTCTTTCCGTTCCTCTGCGGATCGCCGGACTCCTCAGCTGATCACAAGAGTTCTAGTTTTTCTGGACGCCGGAGCATGGCGGATAAATTCAGCACAGATTAACCCGTGCTGGGGTTTGTTTCTCCAGATGTAACAAAGAGTGTTGATGGGAACAAATACTGGTTTCCAGTTTGCTTGTTGTTCTTGTTCTGGACGTCTTCTTCTCCATCATCATTTAACTCCTCCCACTTTCCTTAACGCTGTCTTGTGTGAAACGGCGTGTGCGGCCCCTCTTTGGTGTCATGTTGGAAATTGCTTGGGTTTTTCCTCCGCGACAATCAATTTGGCTGTTTTTCACCATTTCTGACGGACTAAATCAATGTGACAGGAGCACTCGCTCTCGCTTAGGTGGAAGATTTTACACTGTCAGAGGAGGATTTTTCTGCTCTCCTAGCAAACAAAAGAAAAGTGTCTGCCGACGAGGGCAGAGCGGGCGCATGAAGTGTTAGAAATCAGACAGCGGGGGACACCCAGGATGACAGGAAGGACAGGATTTAAGGAGAGGAGGAGTGCAGGTGGGAATAAAGTGCTGTACAGAAGTGAACATGATGTGATGAGATCATAAACTGTAGAAATGTAAATCGGACTCTCCTGAGGTTGAGACTTTCAGGCCCTGAGCGTTAAAATGAAGGTCTGATTGACATGCTTCTGGTGTAACAGAGTGGAGGATTATGTTTTCACACCAACTCTGAGTAAACCTGGAAGGTTGAACTGAGAGTTAGTGTTGCAGGAAAACACAACACACACACACACACACACACACACACACACACACACACACACAGGAGTCACAAGTCTGTCTAGTGTTATGAACGTTCAGATCCAACACCTCACTCGTCCTGACTGCTCCGCCTCCCTGTGCCTGAAACGCTGAGCCCGGTCACGTCAGAGGCTAAAGTTACTGTTACCACGGTTACCAGGTCTTCACCAACTTCACCGTCCACCTTTTACTCCTGCACATGCAGGGCGCTCTCTGCTCTTCGGTCAAAAATCGATGATGTGATGAAAACAGAGGAAGTAGGAAGTAAGAGGATCATGATGGACTTTATTTATTTAATGTTCAGATGGATCAGAGGAGACTCGGGGTCGACTGAACGTTCATGGAAGTCCAGCTGCTGTTCAACCATCCTCACTCTCCATCATATACTTTATTTTTGTATCCATCACAGGGCTTGACACTAACTAAGGAGTACTATTATTACTATTATTAGAAATCAATTTTAGGTCTTTTGGTCACATGACATGGAAGCTATTGTGAGAACAGCCTTTTCTGAGAACATCAACCGGTAATTTATTGACGGTCCCTTATTCAACACCCGACGTTGACAGTGAGGGTGTCGAGTAGATTTAACCGCGCTGCTGTTGTTATTCCCGGTTATGGAGAGTGAGAAGACAGCGGTAGATCCTCAGAGAATGTCCGTCAGATATCCAACCTGAAACTAACTTCACCGCTGTATTTACAGGAAAATATATCCAACCTAAAACTAACTTCACCGCCGTATTTACAGGAAAATATATCCAACCTAAAACTAACTTCACCGCCGTATTTACAGGAAAATATATCCAACCTAAAACTAACTTCACCGCCGTATTTACAGGAAAATATATCCAACCTAAAACTAACTTCACCGCCGTATTTACAGGAAAATATATCCAACCTAAAACTAACTTCACCGCCGTATTTACAGGAAAATATATCCAACCTAAAACTAACTTCACCGCCGTATATACAGGAAAACATATCCAACCTAAAACTAACTTCACAGCCGTATTTACATCTATTTTTAGTCGCACTGTCGAGCCCCGCCATCACACATTTTGAATTTGTCATCTTTTTCTGCGTATTCTATGATAAAAACACAAAATCCCAGAGTTTAACCTAATGCCTGTTTATATAAAATCATGTGATCTTTTTATTTTGGGGTACTAACCACATTCACTTTTACTTTAGCATTAGTTTCTTAAAGCTGGAACTGGACCGTCCTCCCGCCCCAGTAAACCAGAATACCGCCCCCTTTAAACGCTCTCCATATAGACAAATTTAAGTTTAATGCTAACTGATAGTACTGTGGATTTCTTTCCTGTAAGAGTTTTTTCTGTGTGAAAATAAAAAGCAATATTTTCCAGTCAATCTATTTCTGCACATATCCAGACTGTATGGACCCCATGAATAATTCATAGTGGGGCTCTTTAGTCCCATGCACCATTTACTGCATGCTTCATTACGACTGTGGGCTCAGCTGGTGCCGAGCCCCTTCTTTAATATTAGCCGGAGCACTAGTTGACATTCATGTGAGCCTCCGCTAAAGCAGGGGCACGAGGCTTTAAATCACTGTCAGGGCTCCACACAGAGCTGCACACATAACTTCTGACTCCACTCTGTTGGTTAGGAGCAACAGCAGATGATCTGGACTTAAGCTAGACAAATAACTGCCCTCCACTTCCTCCCCCCCTCACCCTCCTCACCCTCCTCCCAGTCTGCTCCGGGCTGCTTTAGTCAATATCCGGTCCTGCTTTTCCTACTTCTCATTCCTGGCCTCTCCCTGCTCAGCCCTTATCTCTCTTCACTCTTTATTGCCCTCTTCATCTGAGGGCTGTTGTTTAGATTGACATCTGCCACGACGGCTGATAAAGACCAAACCGTCCCTCTCACGACCATCAAAATCCAATTCTTGGGTAAAGACGGGATCATGCTGTGACGATACTTCCTCGAACTCATCAGGCTGCAGATTACTGCAACAAAAAAAGAGCAGAATTCATGATGATCTGGACAAAGAGCTGACCTCCCCACCAAATGGACCACTGCTGTCGATCAGCTGCTGTCCTTCAGCCCCGTATCAGGCTGAAACACACACACACACACACACACACAGTGAAGCACTGGAGCACTAACATGTCAGCATAATGAAATTAGACAGCCTCGTTTGTGACGCTGCATTGTCCTTGTTCATCGGTGGCACCGTTCCCACCACACACGGCCTCCTCACCCTGTCCGGAGCTGAGCGACCAGGATATTGCTAATCGCTCACAATAGAAGGATTAGCAAGCAAGGACAATAGGGATCTAAATGTCAGAGGCCAGCACCTGCCCTAAGCCCTCTCTGTCGGACAACAGTTAATGGGCAGCAGGCGGCGGGCAAATTGTGAAGCGCCGCTCGAAAGAGGAGGCGGGGAGAGGAGGCCTCCGGAGAAAACTGATGTACATACAGCTGAAGACATTTAAATTTACGACACATGTCCACAGATTAATGTTGGATAATAATCTGAAAATATGACATTTATATACTCAGGGATAGTGAGCACCGCCCACATTTAATAAAAGGGAAATGAATAAAAACTAAAGTTTAATTCAGAAATCAGACATTGGATTAATTCTAAATCATAAACCTGAATTCTCATTTCATGAAATTCCACCTCTGAAGAACATTAAGGTACATACTAACTAAACAAGAGGGTACTTTGTTTACATTCACATTTTAACTAAATACTTTATGTACATTAATACTTCATTTACATTCTAACTAATATTTTGTTCACATTTTAATTTAACCAGATGGCACTTTGTTTACATTTAGAGTTTAACTGAATACTTTGTTTACATTAATACTTTGTTTATATTTTAACTTAACCAGAAGGTAGTTTGTTCACATTTTAACTATATACTTTGTTTAGCTTTTTACATAACCAGAGGGTGCTTTGTTTACATTTATACTCTTTTTACATTTTAACTGTACCAAAGGGTGCTTTGTTTATATTTATACTCTTTTTACATTTTAACTGTACCAAAGGGTGCTTTGTTTATATTTTAGCTTGTTTACATTGGTAATTTGTTTACATTTAACTTAACCAGAGGGTACTTTGTTTACATTTTAACCTCATACTTTGTTTACATTTTAACTTAATGCTTTGTTTACATTAATACTTTGTTTATATTTTAACTTACCCAGAGGGTACTTTATTTACATTTTAACTTAACAAGAGGGTACTTTGTTTACATCTTTAGAAAAACAACAACAACCAGAGGTAATTTGTTTTTTTTTTCAAAGTCCATCTTTGGGGCGCTTTGTTAACATTTAATAGCTCAGAAAATGCAGCTACAGGTGCTTTATCCACATTTATGCTTTATGGTATTTTTCACGTGATTATCACTGTAAGGGCACCAGATGAGCTTTTTTTGGTCCTTCATCCAGTTTAAAACATCTAAGAGTGCACTTATGTGTTATTGTTCAAACATGGCCATGGGGGGGCAAAGGGAGGTTTGCCCTTCTACTCCCTCTCTAAGCACGCCACTGCTGCCCCCCTCAGGCAGAAGGACCAGATAGTCAACACAGATGTGAATGTAAATGAGATGCACGATGAGTCAAAGTGGGAATGCCGAGTATTGGTGAGAGGCTGAATAGCTTCGTATATCATCCAACTATAAAAGTCATTTCTCTCTTAATGTCCAAATTAAGTCCAAGTGAGAAGCGAGCGAGTGAAAAATGCCGCCATTCCAGCAGACTTCAGGACCAGCTGAGTTTCTATGAAATTCCTTGAGCGTGTTTTATGAAGCTCCTTTTTATACCGAGGTGTTTTCACTTCCTTCAGCCGTCGTACTGCTTCAGCTGCAGCACTTCCATTAATTTGTAGCTTAGCCTTCAGCTAAACAAAACACTACCACTGCTGCAATTTAATAGGCAAGGCACAGCGCTGTAGAGAGAGCGAATGATGTTGAGTGTCACTGGTATAAAAATCATTGTCTCATAATAGCTGACTCTCAGGAGAAAGCTGGTATTCTTTACTGACTGCCTGCCTTCTTCAAAGCAAGGGCAAAGCTGTTTTGAGAAACACTAAACGAAGTGTTTTTTCACGCAGAGCAACCCTACAGCCAAGAACTTTTTCAGATGCCACACTCGAGCTTTTCTCTCCATTTCCTCTTGCATACATTTCTATAAACCCACCGAGCGCGGCCTTGGCTTCTGAAGGTAATTGTCTCACCCTCGCTGCTTCACTTACAGTGCAGAGCAAGCACAGGACTAATCTTATCAGTGCATGCAGCTCTCTACAAGCCAGACACCTTCAATGCCAGCTCTCACCTCCTGATCAATACAGATCAGTCCTGGGGAAATATGGAGAGCTGTTATCAGCTGAGAGTGATAATAAACGTCGACTATCTCCAGAGTTACACAGGCTGACAGCTCAGGTGGGCTGTGGAGAACTTAGTCAAACTTATTACTGTTCGTCTTTTAATGAACTGAGCTGCCACCAAAGGGAAGACATCGCTGTGTTGTCCCACATTACTACAATAAAAGCTCCAGACACAGCAGCTTCCATACCTAAAAAACAGTCACGGAAACAACATCCATCTTCATGTCAGAAAAAACCAACAGTTCCTTATTAAAGACCTTCAGCCAGGAAGTCAGTCAGCCTTGTTTTACCTCCTCTGACTGTGAGGACCTTAGTCGTAAAAGTAATGTTCAGCACAGTAACACAAAGAAATAATCCAAATGTCAGACAGAGCAGCGCTGCTCCCGCTAACCCAACCTCGGTCCACTAACACAGTCTTATACATCAACACTGGGCCCACCCACCCACCCAGCTCCCATGATGCTTTACAACAACCAGCAAACAGTGGTGGTTCATTTATGTCGATGATGATGTTTCAATTTCTTCAATTAAAGGGATATCCCGGCATAAAATTAATTTAGGGTCAAACCCACCGTAACACAGTTAGACCCCCCCTCCAGAGATGAATGTTGCCGACCGCTTGCTTCTCTAGTTATACCAACTTTAGCAACGACCCCAGGATAGAAATACAGAGAGCCACGCCCTCAACCAAAACGCCACTCTATAGCCACAAATAATGCTCAGAACAGCACCTAACTTCATCAACAGGACATATAGGGTCACAGACATAGTACTAGACACCAAACATCTTTTTAACTTTGACTCATTTCTTTAGCAAAGAGACTAAACACAACTCACCTACTCTCTTCCAGCAGCTGCTTGTTTGTAGTGAGACCTCAGGCTAGTCCATTATGGACTACAGCGGGGTGACGCAGCTCAAGGAAGAACATTTATGATCAAAATACAAACCGTGCGTTTCTGTTCCAGCCTGAGCGAGTAACAAAGATTCGTCTCTTTTTTTACTTCCTTTAGTTTTCTCCTGTTTGACTTCAGGTCAGGCTCAGACTAGTTCTGGTCCCGTTGAGGTGAAAGCATGCAAAAGAAAACTGACCCAGAATCACATCATGGGTTTGTTAGTCGGACTATGATTACAACTCAGTCAGACTGGAATGTTTTCTCATTTTTTAAAGTCCAGGTTCAGTCAAAAGGACGCCATATATGGACTCCTAACATCTCATAAACGGACTGTGACAAAAACTTTTCTTTCCAACATGAAGGATATTTTAATTAGTGGGAGGTGAAGTTTAAAATATAATCAGAGACAGTTATCATAACCTAACTTTATGTCACCCTACTAGGGGCGGGTCCTTGGTGTTCTCGCCTGTCAGTCAAGTCATTTGTGCCTCTGATTCGATTACATTGAATCAAACTTGGGCTCTCTGAGCTACGCCAACTTGAACATTTTGCATACAGCCTCCAGTGGACACTGAGAGAACTGCAGTTTTTAACACTTACCTGATCAGTCTGACATCTACCTGACGTCGGAGGTTAGAAACATTCAAAACTGGACACTGACCATCTGCTCTGCTTTTGTAGGTTATGTGGAAACAGCAGCAGCAGCATTAGTTCCAGCCTGTTTCATAACCTCCTGAAAACTCCTCACAGGAGCTTTAAACCGTCATCACGTGCAGAGATGTGACCCACTTCAGATCCTGCAGCAGAGCGTCTAAATAAACACGATTGTGGTTCAAAAGAACGAGCAGAGAGGTTTGATGGAGAATGATCTTCACAATCACACGTCAGAGTCCAGTGATATCATTGACATACATCGACTTTTAATTACCCGCAGAGTCTAAGTGAAGCTGACACCTTCATAATGAGCTCATGTGTCCAGGGAGCTCATTTGACACGGTGATAATGTGTCTGCATAATATGATCGGCTGTCTCAACAGTCACCTGTCAGTCAATCTCACAGATTAGCATCAGAGTCCCCCTCAGGGACCGCTCTGAAGTCGACTTTAAAGCCATCTAAAAACATGTCCATACTGCCGATGGTAACGTCTGCTGTATTCATGATTCAGACAAAATCAGAGTTATTGTTTTTATGAAACAGGTTTGAGGTTAAAAACGTCTGACAAACCATTAAGAGATGAACGAGTGTTCACATTCAGGAGACAAAAACCCTTAAAGGTGGTGTAGTCAGGATCTGATGAAGTTCCAGTTTTCAGGAGAAATCTTGAATGTAAACTCTACCCCACCCAACTCGCTCGTATCGTTCCAATTAAATTCAGATATAATGCAGATAAATACTTCAGATCATTACAAATGGGGCCCAGTCAAGGTGAAAGTCAAAAGCATTGGTGCTACTGTAGATGCCAACAGACTACCAGCAAACACAATGTTTGCAGGACTTCTACAACGAGGATAAAGTGACATAGTCCAGGACCCGAGGGAGGACAGTTTAGCGATGGCGCTACAACACGCTACAGCAGGTCCGTTTGACAAGAAACACTTCTGTTACAGACACTTGTCTTACTTTGTTAAAGCGGTTTACCTGTCCAGCAGAAAGGTTACAGGGTCACCAAGATCCCCAAGCGTCCCCCATGGTTTATGTTGACCCGGCTTTTTAGCTCTTGTCCGGTCTACCTCCGTTTTAAGCGCCCGTTATTCCTCCAGAGTCTCCGGTATTTACTTTGTTTTCTCGCTTGTGTCGGCAGTCGTGGCCAAAGGAGGATTCAGACAATTTTCCGAACTTTCTGGTTGGTTTCTACTGTCCGATATTGTAGCACGCTAACTTTGTTTGGGCTCCTGAACGACACGGGGGAGCAGCGTCTGCCTCACAACCAATCAGGTTAGAGGAGGTGGAGAACGGCTTTGTTTACAGTCAGAAAGAGCGGACCGCTCAAAAATGTTCAAATGTTGACGACACAGACATAAGAGAACACAGAGATATCGATATATTACCAAATGTCATCAATAACTAATAACTATTGACTGATATTAGAAGATTTTTTGTAAATACACTACAAAAATATGCTTCTTAATGCTTCTTTAACGGATTCCTGTCTACTCCACCTTTGCGAGGACTCAGGGTTTAAATATTCACTGAACAAATGGATCACGCTGTGTCGACACTTCCCGATATAAGAGAAAACAGAGGAAGCAAAGGATCATGGGAAGTGTGAAAACAAAGTAAACACACCAAAACAAAAATCAACCATTTCCCCTCTTCTTCTCCTGCATGAAGAGAGCGTGATCTATCAGAGCGCTCAGAGGAAATCCTGAGTGATGGGTTACGTAGACCCCCATCAGTGGATCCACACGTGTACCCAGGAGCTGCCAGCACTTGTGTGATATTAATGTCATCTGCCTTTTGTAGTCGGACTTGGAGGTTCAGATCACGCTTCAGCTTTGCCTCGGTCGTGACTGCAGGGTCTTACGTCTCCGAAAAGACAGAAGAAGAACAAGAAGAAGAAGAAGAGGAGGAGAGGCTTGTTGGGCTTTAGTTCCAGCAGGCACATGTCAGATGCACCTCACTTCCTGCTATAAACCGGGATGAGTCTGCTGCTCGCCAGAGAGAGAAAAAAAGGTCATTTGGCAGCGCTCTCGGCATTTCACAGCAATATTTCTTGCGTATGAAGTGGTAAATGGGGGCCTTAACTCACAGATGGCACGTACTCTGGTGAGAGTCATAAACCGCCTGCTTCCCGTGAGGGATTTGTTTGTGTCAAGCACCTGATACACATCCAGGGTGTCTTTGATAAATCCTGACGGTGGCCGGCAAATTCAAAGTGCTCATGCATGACGGCGAGGTCGACGTGTGAGCAAACACGCCAAACAAACAGCACAAGGTCGTTTGTCTCAGATACCGACCATAAAGAATACTCTGAGTACTGCTGTTGACAGGACGCTGCTTTGGTTATTACTGCATCTCTGTGTTCGTACTCAAAGTCTGGAGCAGACAGGAAACTGTGTGTCCGTCAGATTTTAGTCCGACGCCTTCAGCATGGTCGGCCTCAAGTATACAAGAATATCAAATATCAGAGATCTCTGGAATCAGCTGGTTTCAGTAACTTCTCTGTTGGTGCCGCAGTGCAAGTGCAGAAAACTGCAGTTCCTTTCGTGTCCACTCGGGGCAGCAAAGGAATACCCATTAGAGCTTATATTAAAATGTTCCTTTTTTTTTTTTTTCACAACTGAATAAATTGTAGTTCATTATTTGATCTCTCTACATCCTTTTTTATATTTGTTACCTGTAACTAGGGCTGGTCAAAAAAACGATAATGTTATATATCCAAAATTAATTTCCCTCAATATCTGTATGAAACATGGTCAATATGCTTTTCAATAGTCGTCATTCTGACATGTTTTGGTCGACTATACGAACAGCCAATGAAAAGGGGAGTGTCTCCGGGTCTGAACCAATCATGTTCTGAATTAGAACCAAGTATCAACCAACTGCAGCGTCGTAGCAGACAGCAGCTCCACCCAACCATAGCACTTTAACAGGTGAAGCCGACAGCACTGTTGGTGAGAAACAAAGAAAATGAGTGCTACCCCCGACAGAAATGACCATGAAGGCTCAACAGATGACCACATCAATGTCAACCACAACACTGGCGTTAGGCAAACGTCGGTGGTGTGGAGGTATTTTGGTTTTTGGAGGTCGGACATGAAGCAGAGTAATGTGGACTGTAAATTATGTCGAGTACATGTTCTCACAAAGTCGGGGAATACCTCAAATCTTTTTCACCACCTGAAGCAGCGCCACACCGCAGATTTTTATATTCTGAACTCCAGGTTTTCGAATGATTTGGTCCGAACACTCTTTTAATACACATGCAATGAGTTGAACTTTGACCTTTTTCCATTTATTTGTTTCGCGCTCTTTGAGTGAAACCAACAGAACAGGCCCGTTTCAGGAGCAGACGTGTAATCAGAACACGGGACAGAAGTGTTAGAATCAGGTCTGAGTGAGAGTGAAACACCTGCAGAGACAGATGGATGTCATCGTTCTCTCTGTCAACAGGTTTCAAAACAACGAGCTTTAAACAGAAGTCAGAATAATCAAACACACACACACACAGCTGATGATCAAAACAGTCAGATGAATATTTCTACTACATCTGTGAGTACCTTCATGTTTCTCAGATTATATCCTGGTGTTGTTTCAGGGTCGTGAGTTTTTACTCTGATTATTTCATCCTAACACAGCCCACCAGGACCGCCCTCATGATGTCCTCCCATCATTTAAAGTCTGGAGACACTCCACATTTTCCATTGAAGCCGTATTGACAGGAGGGGCGGGCGTGTCATCAGCACAGATGGCGGCTGATTTCTACAAAAAGGAAATTAATGTTCCAGTAATTTCCTTTTTTTGTTGATTTGTTTTCGATGGGAGTCAAATTTCTGCCCAAAGGGAGTCATGAGGACATGTTCAGCTGCAGCCTGTGGGTCTGTCCTGTTGCTTAGAGAGCCATTCATCAACAGGAAGACACAGAATCTAACCCTTCCTGCCTCTTCATCGTTGGCTGACCCTGACCTTTGACCTCCCTGTGGAGGGTAACCTCAATTGAAAGCATCAATAACAGATCAAATTACTGACTTTACGAGAGGTCGTATATTTGTCTCTCCATCTCTGTCTCATCTTTTCCAGCCAAACCTCAAGTCTCAGACTGACCCGCTCCAGACCAGCGGTCAGGAAACAAATACTCCATCTGTGACAACCGTGGACTAGACCAAGATCTTCAGCCGTCAGAAGAGACTTACTACACTGATCTGGACTTGAATATGTAGGGCTGGTCAAAAAAACGAAAATGATATGTATATCCAAAATTAATTTCCCTCAATATCAAGATAAATCATGGTCAATATGCTTTTCAATAGTGGGCATTCTGCCATGTTTTGGTAGACTATATGAAAAGCCAATGAAAAGGGGAGTTGTTCTGGGTCCGCTTCACTGTGAACCAATCATGTTCTGAATTAGAACCAAGTATCAAACAACTGCATCACAGCAGACAGCAGCTACACCCAACCATAGCACTTTAACAGGTGAAGCAGACAGCAGAAATGACGATGAAGGCTCAACAGACGACGACATGGTCCACAACACTGGCGGGACGAAAACGTCGGTGATGTGGAGGTATTTTGGTTTTTTGAGGTCGTACATGTAAATTATGTTGAGTACATGTTATTGCAAAGTCGAGGAATACCTCAAATCTTTTGGAACGCAAAAGGTTACAAACCCCGAGAGGAGCGAGGAGCCCATGGCACCTGTGCAGCCGAAACAGACGACCATTCAGTCCGCTTTCTCTTACGACAAAACGTCAGACACAAAGACCTCACAGATGCAGGAGACTATTGTATTGGAAAAGACATCCTACCAATAAACACTTTTAGATTTCATTTTTTATATCGTGATATATATCGATATCGACTGATATGAAAGAATAACGTCTCCTTTAAAAAAGAGGCTTCAAGGATCACCAGAGAGTTTCTAGAGCCGTACTGTGAGGTGAACAAAAACCACAAATGCAGACAGAAGCAATCATCTGAGATCCTGAGGAGAGCAGAGAGCTGGTTTGGAGGGGAGCTCCTGCTCCGACCACAGAGATGTGAAATGAGAAGAAGAATCTCACTTAATGGCCGGAGCCGGATGATTGAATTTCAGGAGACTCGGAGGCTCTGGCTATCAATTTAGGCTGAAATGATCAATACAAAAATGGCCGCTCCGCTGAGAGAGAGAGGCTTTCCTGCACCAAAAACAAAAACACGACTATTTATCACAACAGTTCCAGTTTGGAAAAACTTCACTAACAAGCTGCGTTTTATTTTGAAAGGACACAGTCTTAACTTCCCTCAAAGACAGAGGTCAAAATATGACAGCATAGATTGAAGCGTGGTTATGATCTCATATTTATGATGTACAGAGGACTGAGTTTGAGAGTTTTATCTTTTTATTCACTCAGGATTTCGCTGAGGGCCACACATTATCAAAATCCCCTGACCTTGGTGAGAGAAATGTTCAATTTTCTTGGATTAGATAGAAAATGTTCTCACGCAGTTTTGCGCTGAGCACGAGCCAATTAAGTGTTTCCTTCTTTAATCGGAGAGACCTGAAGTACAATGGAGCGATTTAGATGTAATATCTTGACCTTTGAAAGACGTTTTCAAAAGGTCAGATTTTATGGGGGGGAAATATTCTCATTAATAAAAGAAGCTTTTTAGTCGAGCGAGCGGGATCGACCTAAAAATGTCAGACCTTTTTAAATTAAAGGGCGAATCAGCGCTGCTATTATTTTCTTTGTGTATTTAAACAGAAAGGAAATGTGCAACCGTGAGTAAACACAGCCACTTTCTTATGTAACCCTGTAACTGTGGTTTTATTTGAAATGATCAAACCGAGAGGTAAAAAATAAACATGCTGGAGTCTGTATTTACATATGAACAGCTGACTAAACCTGTGCTCCATTTAGAGACAAATGCAGAAATATAACCATTTTTTTAAAGAGCAGCTTCTCCTGCAGTTTCTCTCTGAGTTTGGTTGACTTTAATGAAACCAAAACTCGGTTTATAACCCTCCTTTAGACCTTTATTCAGCAGACTGCTTCATAAATTCACTTCATACTTGTATATTTTTACACATTCTGAGTATTTCTTTAATACGCTCACGGTGCAGCAGGTTTAAAACGGGCTTACAGGTGCAGAGCTGCTGATTTCAGAGCGATCCATTAAAACACTGACAGCTGGAAATGATCCCTGTTTTCTTAATGAAAGTTAAAACACTGATTGTTTTTTGATGATGCTCGTCCTCCCATTTATCAAAATCAGACCAGAATGCACGTGTAATTCACATTATCTCGGTGAATTCATTAATAACGTCGTCACTGCTGGAAAATAACAGCATCTCTGCTGATCGACCGCGTTCGGAGGAAAACTCCAACAGTGATTGTTTGTAAGAACTTTTTATTGGCTGATGAATTTTTATTTTTTTCACTAACTTTATAAAAACACTTTTTTTTCTTGATGTTTTCTTTAGTTTGTTAGTTTAGTTTGGGCCAAGCTGAACTTTGACAATGATGAGTGAATTAGCTCCTATTTACATGTAAGATTTATGTTTAAAACATCACTGTAGAAACAGCAAGACTGAATAAACCATCTGTTATTACTGGATGTCAGTCACATGACCCTTTTATACCCCTTTAAAATGTAATACCCATCTGTCTGGGTGAGAAAAATAATGCTATCTGAAGAAGTATCTGGGTTTAGAGTTTACTTATTTCTCTGAAGTCCTCAGAAAATATGAAAATTTGTATTTTCCTGCTTTTTATATCCACCTAGTCCCAAAATATGAAAGTTTCTCGTTACGTCACTCCAGGGCGGGAAAATGATCCTTAAGTGGCGTGTGAAAGTTTGATCTTGATTAGAAGGACCGTACGTTTCTGAGCATTCAGGAGGTTAAACTTACATTGTTTTAATGTTCGCTAGCTGGTTATTTAAGTTACATCCACAAATGTAAGAAAATTAAGGTGCAGTTATTATTAATGAGTGCTGAACTTATAATAATACCAATAATAATAACAATAATTATTATATAACAGGGCTTGACACTAATTTTTTTCACATGTTCTCTTAAGTTAAAAAAGTAAGGAGCACAAAGAACTTTAGGGGACCAATGAAAATTAATCAATAATGTTTGTCTTATTGTCCGACCTTAGTACTATTATTAGAAATCAATTTTAGGTCTTTTGGTCACATGACAGTGAAGCTATTGAAGGAAAACAGCCTTTTCTGAGAACATCAACCGGTAATTTATTGACGGTCCCTTATTCAACACCGACGTTGACAGTGAGGGTGTCGAGTAGATTTAACCGCGCTGCTGTTGTTATTCCCGGTTATGGAGAGTGAGAAGACACCGGTAGATCCTCAGAGAATGTCCGTCAGATATCCAACCTGAAACTAACTTCACCGCCGTATTTACAGGAAAATATATCCAACCTGAAACTAACTTCACCGCCGTATTTACAAGAAAATATATCCAACCTAAAACTAACTTCACCGCCGTATTTACAGGAAAATATATCCAACCTGAAACTAACTTCACCGCCGTATTTACAGGAAAATATATCCAACCTAAAACTAACTTCACCGCCGTATTTACAGGAAAATATATCCAACCTAAAACTAACTTCACCGCCGTATTTACAGGGAAAAAAACATTTGTTGCCTCGGCTGTTTTTTTAATGCGCATATGTGACCCTAAATACATTTTACAATTCGCACATCTATTTTTAGTAACAAATGTGAGTGAAACGTTTGCACTGTCGAGCCCTGTAATCATAATAATAATAATAATAATAATAATAATAATAATAACATTAAGGAAAGTTTAAAATCGGGCATGCCCCCTCTTTTTGGGGGCCTTGCTATTGCGCGGCATGGCAGAAGCTCATGCTAACGTCTCTCAGTGCTAAAAATAGCGCCACAAGAGCAGTGATGTCCCCCTGTCTTATTTTTAAGTTAAAAATCAAATAAAGAAATGCGACGACACTCGTCAATAAAGCTGCGTCTCATCACTCTGAAAAGTAAAACTTCTGACAACAAGAAGTGTAAGTTGGTGATGGTGCAGTGTCCTCTGTCCCTCACGCTCCATCACTGGTTTTTATTTTTAGGCGCCTTAAATGGAGTGGGAAAGATGGTGAAGTACCACTAAAGGTGGAGAGGGACGCGGTGCAGGCATCAGTCCCTAATGGATCTTCGTGGTGTTTGAAGTGGGGCAGAGCAGGAGCCCAGAGTCCCCCGGGGCCCAGCTGCAGGATAAACACTCTGCAGTCAGGTAATGGCACTGACACGACTGGATGGTTCCTTTATCATCTCAGGTCTGTGCCGAAGAGTCAGCATACAGGGTGATGATAACTGAGACAGCTGCTGCTGCTGCTAAGCTGTCAAGTCAATGATGAAACTGATCCTTGCAGTGGAAAAAGATCAGAAACTCAAACTACCGTCTTCATGAAGAAATCCTGTTTTTATCTCCGGAGTTTGAATGACTGCAGAGGAAAAATAGAGTGATTTAAAAAAAAAAAGAAGTTATTTTTATTTATTATTTTAAAGTGCTGAGGACTCTGAGATTACAGCTACAGTATAGAGTGGCCAATAAAACCTGAGCTTCTGTGGAAAATGGAAATAAATAAGTGAAGAGAACAAATGTTGTTATGATGAACTTAAAAGTGACTTACATGCTGTCTCCACTTCGCCTGAGCTCTTATTTCGCATGACGAGACTTTGCTGACTTTCTCAGGAATTGTGACATTTTAAAAGCCTTGGCCTTTTTGTTGGTTGCATGCTGGTCATTTGTCCGTGAAAAGAAGGACAAACAGGGACCTATTTTCTCTATAGATAGCGCGGTCATGCACTTTGTTTCTCCATGACAGACTTGGAGCGTTGGAGAAAACCAAAACTCACTTTTCTCACTCACCAAACCAAGAAAACCTCTGTCTGATATGAGTCTTCACATAAAGAAAACATGTCACTGAAAACAGGATCTTCTTAGTTACAAATGAGACATTACATGGTGTTACAGCGTGTGAAAACAGCGATATTTAAAACTTTGTTCCTGTCAGATTCAACATGAAGATGCTCCCTTACTCACCCCTCCTACCTGTGAGGTGGCGGCTTCCTTTAAAGTCCAGAAACTCAGTAAAGCAGGAACACAATGATCCACAATGTGTTGAGTTTTTGCTGTTGAATCAAAAGATGTGTTTAAAACTAAAATTAAAAACAGAAAGTCAGATTTAAATAAATATAAAACTGTTATATGTAAATATTTGTAGTAAAGACCTCTCCTGTTCCTTTCCAGAATGGACCCTAATAGATCACCATTGTGCCTTAAATCTAAGTTAACAAATGTAATATATATATACACACTGCTTCTGAAAGTGTCCAAGAATATCAAAGTTCTGGTCATGTGTTTCTAATAAAGTGACAACAATATTCAAAAACAAGATCTGTAACGATCGGGGTCAGTTTCTACTGGGGCTGTCATTGACAAAGTGTTATGGATGTGAGAAGATCAAAATTAGTGAATCAACTCTTATTTTTGGACAGAATATGTAAACGATTTCATTGGACTAGAGACAAACCTCCCACTGTAACTCAGTGGTAAAAAGAAATGTTTCGAGTTTTACCGATGGAAAGGCTAAGAGCCAAATTAAAAGGGAATGACGATATCTTCATGAACACATGGTGGCCCCTTATGGAATACTTGCCTAAAGGTCTGAGTGAAACTATACAGAGGGGAGACGGTGGTTTAGGGGGTCCCAGACTGAGCTAATGATAAAAAAAATACTTTTTAAAATAAATACAAGGACACACATTTCTTTAATTGATGACACACTCTTGTGTTGTTGGGGTTTTTCTTTGTTTACCCTTCTTTTTGTTTTGTTTTCACTCATTTTATCCTTTTCTCATCGTTTTCTACTTTATGGTTTTGTGTTAACTCAAAAATAATATAAAATCTGATCATTTAAAAAATAAAATCCTCCATGATTCAATCAGAAACTCACTTTTATGCCACAGTGTCAACAGCCTACAGATGCTCACACACACACACACACACACACACACACACACACACACACACACACACACACACACACACACACACACACACACACACACACAGTGTTTGATCAGAATTAGCCTCCGCTGTAATGAGGTTTCAGTCAATGAGATTCAGCCCGGGGAATGAGACAGGAAATGAGGATAGAAACCTCTCCGACCTGATGTGAACCATGATGGTAATGTTCCCCTGTAAGGATTTATTCCACTGCATTACTCACTTCAGGCTTTTATTAGCACCACCTCACACTCCTAATGCTATCTCCACACTGTATGCATTAAGCACCGGCCTTAACTTCACAGCATTATACGTGCACTTCTGAGGAATATCACCGAGGAGACCTGCAGCTACTTCAAAAACTGTGTGAAGGATCCTGAAACCAGAGTCCTGGACCCCCTGGGCTCATACTGGGGACCAGTGTTTAATTAGTAAATCATAAGGTGAACACAAAGTCCATATGACAGCTCAGGGAAGAGGAGACGGACACAGGTCCCTGAACATATATAGAAAACCTGCTGAAAACAACATGTAAATGCCCACATCACCACAGGTGGGACTTACAATCCTCCATTTTTAATAATATCCATGTTATTAATGTTATGATGATAACTTAGAATTATTTTAGGCTTTACTCCTCACAGCACAGACAAATGTCCACATCACTACAGGTGGGACTTACAGTAAACAGTCAGAGATTCATTTATCAACAGGTCTAATGTTGACGAAATAAGAGCTTTTAACAAATCACACAAATCTTCCATTATTATTATTTAAAGATTCTCACGTTTCCATACTTTGTGAACCCTAAATATTATTCTACTATTCCTCAGTTTATTGATGAATTTACAGACACCCTGCACACGTGAGTGGGAGTGAAGCGTTAGCATGAGCTAGCCTCTTCTTTAAAGTTAGAGGAGCGTTTTTTTAAGGTAAAGTCCTGACCTGCTCTCAGCAGCCGCAGAGAGAACTGTAACAAAGATGGAGAAGAGCAATAAAGAGAGAGGAATAAGAAAAGGTCCACGTTCAGCACTAAAGATGTGGTCATTAAGGTGGGCGCATCCATGTGTATCTTTGATGTTATTTTTATTGCAGATTAGCCGTGTTTTCTCTCCTACTCTCCAGCTCCTGTGGTGGCTTTATGGATTCTGTTCAGCTCAGCCTGCGGCTACGTGCCGTTTCAAGGTAGACAGCTAATCAAGATGGATGTCGGGGCAAGACCGGGATGAACCGAGTGGGAGGAGGCACACACAATACACTTCCTTTCTAAGAGAGAAAAGGATGCATGCTTTATACTTAAAAGGGTCACTGCACACAATCAGGAAGCAGAGTTTCTGTTCTGTGTGTGGGGAAGCAGAAAAGCCATAAAGTAAGCCGGGTACGCTGATACGGTTTCTGTTTTGGTCTTTTGTTTTTTTATGGAGCTGCAGGTCTGTGATACTGTGGATGAAATCAGCTGGTCAAAAACAGATGCTCAGTGAAGGACCTGTGGACCCTGTATTCTGTTCTTACTGTAGGACTAACCCCCAATTTCCACCTTCATCCTGATCGTCTACTGAAAGGTCGTATCCTCCGATCGTAGCTGATCGTAACCATTCAAATTGAAGTGTCATTTTCCACCGGCTTCTCTCCGTTCCTCTGCGGATCGCCGGACTCCACAGCTGATCGCAAGAGTTCTATTTTTTCCAGAGGCCGGAGCATGCCGGATAAATTCAGCACAGATTAACCCGTGCTGGAAAGGAAGTCGGGCACAGACACAAAATAAAACATCCAGCTTCCACTGGGAGATGGGTTTCTACGGCCCATTCTTTCCAACTGCTCCCAGTCGTTGTCTGTCCCCTTCTCCAGTAAGATAAACATCCTCCTCACAATAGCAAATTTTAGAACTGAAGAAGCTTCTTGAATAAGAGGCGAAATGTCCTCTAAACTCTACACAGTCCAGTTGCCTGTTTTTAAGTCTTCATGAAAACCATGACCTGGATGAATGAGAATCTACATGGACACCCCATCTCTTATTATTACTATTACTATTATTGTTGTTGTTATTGTTGTAAATATTGTAATGCTTTGGCAATATTGTACGAACAGTCATGCCAATGAAGCTTATTTAAATAAAAAATGAAAAAAACAGGGAAGTGTTTTTTTCTGTGATCCATGAGGGTTATATGAGGTGAGTAAATGTTCCCATCGCCGCTCCTCTTCCTGGAATGTAGGAACACTGGATTTCCACTCCCGGATCTGATGAGGTGTACAGTCTGAAGATGGGTGTGACCAACATATAATGGGATGACTCAGGATCAGAGCTCAGACCGGGAAATGAAACTCAGTCAGTCGTCTTTGACAGCGAGTGTTGAAATGGCGCAGAAAGGAGTTCATCTGGACCGTGAGTCTTTCTCTTGTTCCATCTGTTTGGATCTTCTGAAGGATCCGGTGGCTGTTTCCTGTGGACACAGCTTCTGCATGAGCTGTATTCAATCCTACTGGGATACTGAGGATGAGAAGAAGATCTACAGCTGTCCTCAGTGCAGACAGACCTTCAGATGGAGGCCTGTCCTGAAGAAAAACACCATGTTAGCAGGTTTAGTGGAGGAAGTGAAGAAGAGTGGACTCCAAGCTGCTCCTGATGATCCCTCTGATGCTGGACCTGAAGATGTGGCCTGTGATTTCTGCTCTGGGAGAAAACTGAAAGCTGTCAAGTCCTGTCTGCAATGTCTGGTTTCTTACTGTCAGATTCACCTCCAGCCTCATTTTGAATCACCTTCATTTAAGAAACACAAGCTGGTGGAGCCCTCCAAGAAGCTCCAGGAGAACATCTGCTCTCATCATGATGAGGTGATGAAGATGTTCTGCCGCACTGATCAGAAGTCCATCTGTCATCTCTGCTGTTTGGACCAACACAAAGGTCACGACACAATCTCAGCTGCAGCAGAAAGGACTGAGAGGCAGAAAGATCTGGAGAAGAGTCGAGAAAACATCCAGCAGAGAATCCAGGACAGAGAAGAAGATGTGAAGCTGCTCCAACAGGAGGTGGAGGCTATCAACGGCTCTGCTGATAAAGCTGTGGAGCACAGCCAGGAGATCTTCAGCCAGCTGATCCGTCACATGGAGAAACGCCGCTCTGACGTGGAGCAGGAGGTCAGATCCCAGCAGGAACGTGAAGTGAGTCGAGTCAAAAAGCGTCAGGAGAATCTGGAGCAGGAGATCACTGAGCTGAAGAAGAAAGACGCTGATCTGCAGAAGCTCTCACTCACAGAGGACCACAACCAGTTTCTGCACAGCTACCCCTCACTGTCAGAACCGGGTCAACCTGCAGACTCATCCAGAATCAACATCCGTCCTCTGAGATACTTTGAGGAGGTGACAGCAGCTGTGTCAGAGGTCAGAGAGAAACTCCAGGATCTTCTGAGAGAGATGTGGACAAACGTCTCACGGGTAGTGGCTGATGTTTATGTTATACTGTTAGAACCAGAACCAGAACCAGAACCAGAACCCAAGACCAGAGCTGATTTCTTAAGATATTCACGAAGAATCACACTGGATCCAAACACAGTAAACAGAGAGCTGTTATTATCTAAAGGAAACAGAAGAGCAACATTGACAGAAGAAGAACCACAGTCTTATCCTGATCATCCAGACAGATTCACTGATTATCTTCAGGTCCTGAGTAGAGAGAGTCTGACTGGACGTTGTTACTGGGAGGTGGAGCGGAGAGGGGACGGGGTTAATGTAGCAGTCGCATACAAGACTATCAGGAGAGACGGGAGATCAGAGGATTGTAAATTTGGAGAAAATGACAAATCTTGGATGTTATACTGTACTACATTTGGTTATACATTTGTGCACAACAAAGTCCGCACTCGTGTCCGAGGTCCTTGGTCCTCCAGAGTAGGAGTGTACCTGGATCACAGCGCAGGTATTCTGTCCTTCTACAGCGTCTCTGAAACCATGACTCTCCTCCACAGAGTCCAGACCACATTCACTGAACCTCTACATGCTGGAGTCTTAACCTTAGACTCTGCTGAGTTTATAGAAGAGAAATAAAGAGAATTTTGAGTCCATCAGACCAAAATCATGGACTGAGATCCTTGAACTCTTGAAATGTTCTGGTTTGTAAATGTTTGTGGATCAGTCTCACCAAAAACTCTGGGTTTAGTTCTTCATTTCAGCTTTTTGATTCTTTTCTAAAGATGCTGATTTGGTCGCAGCTTTAAGGACAGTGATTGTGGAGAACTTTGATTGTTTGTATTTCTCATTTTGAAGTTTGATATCAAGAGTTAACCTTAACCTTAACAGTTAAGTTAGTTAAGGTTGAGGTTAAGGTTGAGGTTAAATTAAGGTTAAGGTTGGGGTTAAGGTCAAGATTGAGATTGAGGTTAAGATTAAGGTTTAGGCTGAGGTCAAAGTTGAGGTTGAGGTTGCAGTTGAGGTAAAGGTTGAGGTAAAGGTTGAGGTTAAGGTTGAAGTCAAGGTTAAGGTTGAGGTTGGGGTTGTGGTTGAGGCTGAGGTTAGGGTTTAGGTAGAGGTTAAAGTCAAGGTTGAGGCTGAGGTTAAGGTAAAGGTTAGGGTTGAGGTTAAGAGTAAGGTAAAGGTAAAGGTTGAAGTTAAGGTTGAGGCTAAGGTCAAGGTTGAGGTTGAGGCTAAGGTTGAAGTTAAGGTAAAGGTTAGGGTTGAGGTTAAGGTTAGAGTTGAGGTTGAGGTTAAGGTTGAGGCTGAGGTTAAGGTTGAGGTTGAGGCTAAGGTTGAGGTTGAGGTTAAGGTTGAGGTTGAGGCTAAGGTTGAGGTTGAGGTTAAGGTTGAGGTCAATATTAAGGTTGAGTTTAAGGTAAAGGTTAGGGTTGAGGTTAAGGTTAGGGTTGAGATTGAGGTTAAGGTTAGGGTTCAGGCTAAGGTTAAGGTTGAAGCTGAGGTTAAGGTTGAGGCTAAGGTTAAGGTTAAGGCTGAGCTTAATGTTAAGGTTGAGGCTGAGGATGAGGTTGAGGCTGAGGTTGATGTTAAGGTTAAGGTTGAGGTTGAGGTTGAGGTTAAGGTTGAGGCTGAGGTTAATGTTAAGGTTAGGGTTGAGGCTAAGGTTAAGGTTGAGGCTGAGGTTAATGTTAAGGTTAGGGTTGAGGCTAAGGTTAAGGTTGAGGCTGAGGTTGAGGTTGAGGTTGAGGCTAAGGTTACGGTTTAGGCTAAGGTTGAGGTTGAGGCTGAGTTTAATGTTAAGGTTGAGGTTAAGCTTGAGGCTGAGGTTTAGGTTAAGACAAGTCAAGTCATTTCTCAGAGAACAAAGGGCCATTGCTATAGAAGCAGCAAGGTATGTGAATGCCTGCCATAAAAAAGAGGAGCTTCTTAAATTAACCTGAACAGATGCTCCTGAGTTTGACCTGCACCATTATTATTATTATTATTATTATTATTATTATTATTATTATTATTTTCAATATTGTTGCTGTTCTTGTTGTTGTTATTATTATTATTATTGTTGTTGTTACTGTTGATGTTGTTATTGTTGTTATTATTTTATATTTATTGTTGTTGTTGTTGTTACTGTTGTTATTACTATTACTATTAATTTTAATTTTATTTTTATTATAATCATTATTATCATTATTATTATTACTATTATTATTATTGTTATTGTTACTGTTGTTGTTGAGAGAGAAGGAGAGAGAGAGAGAAAGAGAGAGAGAAAGAGAGAGATGTGGATTAAACTCATTAGACTGAATAGGGTATCTTATTAATGCATCATAATAAATCCTTTAATTTTGTATCCACAGGAATCTGATCAAATCAAACTGAAAAAAATGGTTTAATCTTATAAACATAGAACAGCAGCATAAAATATTAAAAATTAAATATATATTTTTTTAGATCAGAATAATAAAATGTTCATAGCATCCTTAAATAAAAAGTTTGCAGTAACTAAAAAAGTGACCAATTATTAGGGTAACATCCGTCTAAATATGGAACGAGTTAAAAGTCCCTCATAAATTAAAATAAAAATCATGTCTAGACTGGAGACTCCAGGAGTTTGAATTAAATTGAAAAACTGCTTTGTTTATCTCACTGGGAGCAATTTGCACAGAGCAGCTTGTAGAAATGACACACAGACAATAAAATGTAAAACGAGAGCTAAAATATAAGGAGAAGTCTAGAGTAAATATTAACATAGAACAGAAATAAATAGACTGAATATCGTTAATAAAAGGATCGGCTAGCTTTAAAAAACTTCATCAAAATGTCCAAAATAAATGTGAACGCATTTAACAATCTCATCTCTGAGTGCATGTTTATTATATTTATTTATTCTAACCCTAAGATTGAATTTCTATTTTCTCCTTTTTTAATTGTTTCAGAGTTTTTGACTATGTACCCGTCTGGATTCATGCCATAAAATACTCAGAAAAAGAGTTTTGTCTTCTCTGTCTGTATAATTTCATAATTGTATTTTCTTAAAAGGACAGTTACAGTAAGGAATCAGAAATCAGCCGACCTCCTTGTCAGTGACTGAACTGAATTTTACAGAAGTTGTTTAAACAGTTTTTATTTAAAGTTGATGAGTAACCAGAAGAAGAGCAAACGTTTGAAACGTGCTGATTCTCCTCTCAGAGCTTCTTCTTTGTCTGTTTTATCAGGACCACTACCATGATGAAACTCTTAGTACATCATCAGTTTGTTTTTTTTATTATTGTTCTCTTTTTTAAAATGTATTTTAAGTTCTTATTTATGTTTGATGAATGTGACTCTCTGAGTTCAAAGACAGGTTGTCCTGTATTCATGCAGCATATTCAGAGATCAGGCGTCCCTGCTTTCGCTCTAATGTCTTATTATCATGCACAGTGTCAGCGCAGACATCCGTCTATTAGAAAGGCTGAATACTATGAATATATTAAAGTCCTGCTGCACAATATGTTCTCAGAAGGATGTGGTTTTTTTTAGATTCATTTATATTTTCTGTAATAAAGACTAATCTAAAAAAAAGTTTTTCTCTTTATTTTTAGGACGAGTGTGTGAAGACGGAGTTTTACAAAGGTTGCATCATCCTTAATTTCACCGCCTTAACCAAAAACATGTGACTGGGTCTCATAACCTCGTCTTTCACCGTGTCAGCATTTCTTTAGAGCCCGCAGAGTAAAATGGACCGTCGCTTGTTTTTCAGACATAAACAGAACAAACTCTGTTACATTTCCAGGGCTGATAACATCGTTTTTCCCGTGTACCACAGAAAAAGGTTTGAGCTTTGATGGGATGTTTTCCTCTGTACATTAAAGCAGAGAAAAAGGGGACGGTTTTATATCACCCATTTATCGTAAAAGTGTTTGTGTTATGACGGTGAAACACCAGTTTTTCTCACTAAAGTTTGCCGTTAAAATCACTCCAAACAAAGAGCAACCTATGAATTATTAAACTGGAGTTTTTCGATAAAAAACCTGCAAAGCTGAGAGAGTATTTAAAGTCGAGGAAAAGAAATGGTTTTAAAACGCGCTCTCCTTTTCTGGATGGACTCTCACAGTAAACACGACCGATGTACGAATTTTTTTATTCCTGATTTTAAGAGTTTAGTTTTAATTTTGGTGAAAATACTCATTTAATAAAACGGTAGATTTCACTCCGAGTATCTGAGTTCTTTAACTGTTTGTATTTTATCAATCAGGCTGCAGATGGAACAAATCATGTGTTCACGCTCCTGATCACTAAAGCCTTCCTCTCATTGGCTCATAATGTCCGTCTGTTTTTCACACACTCACACCTTCCTCCTCCACCTGTACCTGTCTGATAGTTGGTACCGCTGTTGTTAGCGGAAACTGTAACTAGGCGTCACTTTTAAGGTGCGAGCTGATTGAGGGGAGGGGCCTAAATCTGATTGATCGCTCTGTAGAGCTGGTCCACAGTTCCAAACCATGGCGACCTAAATGAATCATGAGATCGATAGTTGATCAATAATCTTGAAGATAAACTTGGTTTAAAGTTGGGCCTGACCGATATGGATTTTTTGGGGCCATGTTCTCACGGGAAAATGACCCAGAAAACTCTCCGTATCGGCTCTAATCCTACGAACTCAGGTGCATGGTAGCATGTCATAAACTCGAGTGGACTATATCCTGTCAAAATCCAGTATTTGTATATTTGTACACACACACACACACACACACACACACACACACACACACACACAGACCCCTGGAGTCTGTCACTCATGTGTTGTATCTGCAGCCCACAAAAGAAAAGCCCAACCATCAGACGACTTTGAAAAAGCATAAAAACAACGAGAGCCTAAACGGTCGTTTTCGGGAAATCTCTGAGTAAACAGCATGAAGCTGGCATCAATGGACTGTACACACAATACAATCAAGTATTGATGGAGGAGTTATTTTAGTTTAGATTAGATTATACACAGACAGAGCCGCTCCAGCTCATCAGGACCAGGGCTCTCTCTCTCTCTCTCTCTCTCTGCGTGTCTCTCTCTCTCTCTCTCTCTCTCGCTGTCTCTCTCTCCAGCTGCCGTTATTGCTCAGGTATTCTATATCTGAACATTTGGGGATCATGTAGCATGAGCAGGCTTCATTATCAGATAACAACACTGTAAATGTGAACAAATAGAGAGCCCTGAGAGTGGAGATGAGGCCAGATAAGCTATAATAAAGTTATACAGGCCTCGTGCATTCGCCGCTGATTCAATTACAGTCTAATGTTCTGGATTGGCCAGGCTGTGATCAAATAAGAGAGAAGTACCACTTCCACAGAAAAGTACACCTAGTGTTGTCTGTAATTGCGGCGCGTTCCCACTGTGGCTGTAATTAAGCTTACATCGTTAAATGAGCGCCGTACAAAGAGCCTTGTATAGCCTGAGCGGCGGCGTGATGACAGACAGGAGCACGCCGTATGCTGTGCTTTTGTCCGCTGTTTGTTTGTTCGCAGAAATGGAAATCTTGCCAATTTCCTCCACATTGTTCATGCAGCTCGTGTGTGGCGTGGACTGGCGCTGCCTTCAGTTTTGTAAATTCCATTAGATTGACGGGAGCGAGCGAGTGTGTGTCTGTGTGCAAATGAAAATGGGAGTGAAGCGTCGAGTGTGTGAAGGAGTGCATCAAACCGAGGCGGCGTCTGCGGAGTACAGAATCCATAGATGGCTGCAGACGCTGATACAGGATTATCCTCTGGTGGATTTACACATTATACATCTCATCTCCTCCTGCAGAAACCAGACGGCACAATAGCGAGCTCAGGCTAAGCAAACTAAACTAAAGAGCTGAAGGGATCCCAGGGGCCGGATAACCATCTCCTCATCCTGACATCGTGTCTACAGTCAATAAATCATCCTCAACACAGATTTATCAATTATGAGCCCAGATACTGAGGAGGGTTTCAATCAGGACTAAAAGACCAAAAACAAATTTTTATACTGTGGCTTAAGGGGGTCAGAGTCAGTTAGAAAGTCCAGGTTCAGTCCTCGCTCCTGCTGTCCTCATGTCTAACCCTCAATGTCCTCCGCATCCTGAACAGCTACTAAAAGGTCGTATCCTCCGATCGTAGCTGATCGTAACCATTCAAGTTAACGTGTCAATTTACACCGACTTCTTTCCGTTCCGCTGCGGATCGCCGGACTCCTCAGCTGATCACAAGAGTTCTATTTTTTCTGGACGCCGGAGCATGGCGGATAAATTCAGCACAGATTAACCCGTGCTGGAAAGGAAGTCGGGCACAGACACAAAATAAAACATCCTGCTTCTTTTCAAAATAAAACACTCCGGGTTTCAGGAGGATCGTATTTCACACCATGCAAACGGGCGGAGACGAACAAGTGAAAGGTTTTTAGACGTCATTTCACCCCGATGACACCATGGATGAGGAGATGCTGATTCTAGAAGTCTAGAAGTAGATTTCCTCCTCTGGAAGGACACAATCTACTGCTTAAATGTCTATGTGTCTGTCTTTATAGACAGACACATACATATTGGTATCGCGTGATTGCATGGATCCAGTAGGAATAGGCGGACGGCAAAAATCGATGCCTTTTTGAAAACTGGGGGTAAGTGTCCTTTAGGAAGACCCTTGGAGCCAGACCACCCTGGCTGACTGGCCCAGTGGTGTATGAACATTAGAGTTGGGAGACGGTATCAAAGTGACTACCAGAAGAAATTTTGTCTACTGTTTATGGCGGAGAGAGAG